AACACACTTCAGGTACATTTATTGAACTGTGTCAGATCATACAGGTAAAGTCACAGTTACATGGTTATTCTTCTATACCACTCTGAAATATAATTGTAAATAAAAATCAGAGGAACTAAACCTACAAGAGAAGCAGTCTAAACAGACAAAACTGGAACTATTTCAGTTCAGACCAATAAGAGACTCTAACTATGGCGTTAGTTCTCTGAGAGGATCCGTGGTCTTGGTGCATTCTTCTGCTCGTTGCCTCGGCTGATCCCACAGTAGTAAACTGCTGTGTCGCTCTGCTGGGAGCCTCGCAGCAGCAGTGAGCCGTTGGCTGCAGCCGACACTTTATGAGGACCAACGCCGTCGCCGTACATCACGTTAGAGCCATTGAACGACCTGAGGGTCAGAAGCAGCTGCGGGCCCTGTCCTGCTGCCTTTCTGTACCAGCTGAGGGTGGAGTGGGCAGTTGGGGCAGCTGTGGTGTTGGCGGTGGCGGCATTGGAGGCATTAGCGGCGTTCACCAGGGGGCACTGCAGGATGGCGTCCTCGCCGACCCTCACCTGGACAGTGGAGGTGGGCAGGGCAGCCACACGGTGATAGGAACCTCAACAACAGCAACATGAAGGAAAAAAGGTTTATTTTCATTATAACTACACAAAAACAATGAGTAATGACAAATAAAGCCAAACAAACAAGACTGTAGTAACGATTTGTAAAATGGTTTTACGTCACATCAGGTGCTCACTTCACAACAGGAACCTCATCCACCTCCTCGTCCCCAAAGCCGCACTATTTTTGGACACTATTCATTTCAGTTTTCTGCAGCTCTCGACCGGAACCAGTTACAAAAAACACTCAAACTCACCTTTTTTATACCTTCATCATCTTTTAAAAATATGCTGAAGGCACTACTTACTGTGTCCTGTACCTGCTTTTAGTGTATTTTATCTTCAAGCCTGTTATTGCTTTGTTTTTTAAGCATGTATTCCTTTTATTGTATTTTCTGTTCTGTGCTGCCTCTTGGCCAGGTCGCTACTGTAAAGGAGAAATTGTTCTCAAATTAACCCACCTGGCTAAATAAAGGAAAAATAAAATAAATAAAGAAATTATGTGTTACGAGATACGTTTGTTTGAAATCGGACAAAATGAGATCAAATGTATTAGAAAACTATTCGAAAATTAGGGCCATTATAAAATAAAAACGTCACATTATTAGTAAACATTTTTATATAATAACAGCAAGGGTCAACATAGTAAGGAACACAATAAAATTAAAAGATAAGAAGTCCAAATTATGAGAGTATAAATCATAATTATTGGCCAATTATTGGCTAAAAGCTTAAACTTGTGAAGGAAACAATGAGAAATGATCACATTAAAAGTACAACATTTTAATTACATGCAGGCAACTAACTGTAAAGAATTTTTTTTAATCATTGATTTGTTAGAGTTGCTTGGTTTAGAAAAATGTTGTAAAAGAATAAAAAAACAACATATTGTGACGTTTTAAATGTTGTCATGTTTAAGTCCAAAACCCAGAGATTCAGTTTACTGATAGAAAATCGGACAAAACTGGTAATCTGTTATGTTCTAGGTGTTTTTTTTCCCTTTCTCTTTCCTTTTTTGTCAGCCTGTTACTTTACATATTTTCAGTTTCAGAGTTTAATCCAGACATTTAGTTTTAATCCCCCAGACAGGAGGCTTTATTGTGAAAGGATTTTAACTGTAAAATCTCTTCAAATTGGCCTAAAATGCTAAACAGCTCTTCAGCCTGTTGACAGTTTCATATTTAATAAGCAGTTTAAAAGTCGGTCGGTTTTGAAGCGAGCTGTGAATTTCAAAGACAGAGAGCAGACTCACCGTGGAGAGCGAGGACGATCACCCAGAGCAGCACAGACTCCATCATCAACTGACTGAGGACACTCGTCCTGCTGCTGTTGTTAATGAAACCAGCAGAGCGTTTCAGTCAAAACAACACCAACGGATAAACAACATGTGGCCAAAACTATATGGACACCGTGTCTGGCTCTCCTGATTTGGGCTCCTTTGTTCTTGTGTATATAAAACTGGAAACACTATTTTCCAGCTAAATTCCGAGAAACTTTGTTCTTAAGCTCCTAAAAATCGACGGCTATTTGTCTGTAAATTATGAGATCTTTCTAAAAGAGTTTGCTACAAATTCTAAGGGAAATGCTTGTTATTACGTTGCTGCTTGTAAACATGATTTCCCCTCTTTTGCAAAAACCAGAGCTACTCATACACAGCAGCTTGTCCTAAGGCTGGTCGATGTAACTAAGAAGTTAAATATGACAAAGCATGATCCAGATCCAGGGAGGGAGCACACTTGGAGTTTGTTCTTGGGGCCAAACTTTATGTCTTTTCATGTTTCAAGTTGGCATCTGATGTGTTGAAGTGAAACTATCACTTTTGTAGTTGTGTTTTAGGAAGTCTCTGTCATCACTGTGTGTTGCTGTCATTTTATCACCAAGACCTACCAGTTACTGAACTGTCCAAGTTGTTGCTGGATGATTTTTTGCTGACAGATGAATTGTAGTTGTAGGCTTTATTCATTTTATTTTATTTTACAGCTGTAGCATCCATTCATTATCTATACACCGCTTAATCCTCACTAGGGTCGTGGGGGGGCTGGAGTCTATCCCAGCTGACTCAGGGTGAAGACAGGAGACACCCTGGACAGGTCACCAGTCTATCACAGGGCCACACTTAGAGACAGACAACCAAGCACACTCACATTCACACCTACGGACAATTTAGAATCACCAATTAACCTCAACATGTTTTTGGACGTGTGGGAGGAAGCCAGAGAACCCGGAGAGAACCCACGCTGCACGGGGAGAACATGCAAACTCCACACAGAAAGATCCCGGTGCCCCCAACGGGACGCGAACCGTCGACCTTCTAGCTGTGAGACAACAGTGCTACCAACTGCTCCACCTTGCAGCCCACAGCTGTGACAACTAATTGAAATATAAATAGATGAATCTTCTGATTGGTTTATCTTTTGTTTGATAGAAAAAGCCAGAAACTGCTAAAATGCAGTTATGTTGTAATATTCTCCTCGTGTCCATGCCTGGTTTTGTTTGATTGAAAGTTCAAATCCAAAATATGATCATCAACCCACATTCCTTTGTCCAGGCCAAAGCCTAAATCTTGGTTAAAACATCACTGTCTGTTGACTTTTGGCATTTGATGAGAGTATCTTTATATATTTATACACATATACACTTGGTGTTTGTCGTTTAAAACCTTTAGAGAGATAGTGGAAAATACTCTTCTTCGAGTGTCCATTTTTGCTAAGAATTTGCTTTATCACGGGCACTGCTGTAGCTCACCTGGTTAAGCTGACGTCCCATGTACAGGGCTACAGTCCTGATGTGGAGGTCATGAGTTCAAATCCCACTCATGGTCCTCTCCCTGTTCTTCTCCCCCACGTTCCTGTCTCTCTCTCACTGCACTATCCAACAAAGGCCGAAAAAACAGCTTTATTAAATATTCCTGAACAAAGTACATATTTTGTGAAATCTGTATTTAATGAGCTTGTGTCTGAATGTGCTGAGCTGTTGGACATTATAGGTGTAGAGAGTGTGACCCGTCAGCAGAGGGCTTTGTGACGCTCAGTATTGGTCTGATGGATAAAATGATGTAATAATGAGCCGTTCCAGCCTCACGGGGGCGCTACAATCACCACACACTGTCTGCAGCCAAAATAACTTGTTTAAATCTGTGGATCTGTGCAAGAAGTTCTGCAGAGAGTTAAACTGTTGAGCACAGATGAATCAGCAGAGGCTCGCTGCAGTCACAGGCTGTATTTCACTCATTGTTGCAACACTGACATGTTGGATTCCTGTGTTAAACTGAACCAGATCATCTCTGTTAGTGATGCTCCAATGTCAGCAGTCTCACAGCAACACTGCTTTTTATTTTGCACCTTAAATAAATGTGATCAATCTGAGAGAATTTTCTCTGTCGTGCTACGATCCTTAGAAAAACTTTGTCTTTGGGGATTTTTTAAAGTCAGAAATTCCAGAAATTCATTCACTCCCACTCCTTAAATGTGAGGACCTGCTGCCTTTTTTTGGCCATAAATGTCTGAATAAACACAAAATCTTTGGGAACTGGACTGTTGGTTGACCTGAAAACCATTAACAGCATTTTTTAACTTTTTTTTTTTTTTTTTTTTTAACATTTTATAGACACAACACTGAATTGGTGTATCTTCACACAGTAAGCATGATTGGTTAAAAGCAATGAATTTGTATTTAAATGTTGAATTTTTATTTTTTTGCCAGTGGCTATATCCTCATTAAGAAAATGCCAAAAATTGCTGGTGAGTTTCCACTCATCTAATCTGAATGTATGATATTGCATCAACTTATTTGTTGATTGTTTTTTCCAACCAAATCTACAAATTAATTTGATAAAAAATATGGAGTAGAAGTAATAAGTATTCAATGGGAGAAATACTCCAGTAAAATACGACTGGATTCTAGAGTATTCTTTTTTTACAGTTAGTTTTGAGTCTGTACTTTTGAGATGATGCAGACGTATCTCTGACTCTTGCATCAGTTTTCTCACACAGATCGGTTATTTTGACTCTCCTATTAATTATTGACAAAGTACGATAAGACCTTATTGATCCCAGAGGGGCTGTTCTCATGTTACAGCAGCACAGAGACAACCAAAGAGGAAAAAACAAAGTAAATAGCCATTTAAATAAAATGAGTATAATACAACCAAATTGCTGAAATTTAATAATCTAACATATACAGTTGAAACAGAAGTTTACATACACTGTATTAAAGGACACATAATATTTATTGTACTCACTATCTGACATTAAATCAGACTAAACTCTTCCTGTTTTAGGTCAGTTAGGATGACCTAAATTATGTATATTTGCTAAATGCCAGAATAATGAGAGAGATTTTTTTTTAGAGAGATTTTTTTATTACTTTCTTCAAAGTCAGAAGTTTGCATCCATTTCCTCAGTATTTGGTAGCGTTGCCTTTAAACTGTGCTCTGTTAGCGTACAGCTCACCTCCGACCTCACCTCAACTCACAGCTCTTCCTGTGTTTGGACAGAGGACGCTGGGTCAGAGGTCCGTCGGCTGTTCAAGCTAAAATCATCACATTTGACGATGGAGGAGTTTTCTCTCCTGCTGTGTTTAATATTTGTATTTATTTATATCATCACTGTGGCTGGAAAGAGATGATAAACAGTTTCCTGCTGGTTTTTGCTGCAGTTTTTTTTTAAAGGTTTTGAAGACATCACAGATGCACAAACAGAATGTTCAAGTCAAGAAGCTGCAGTACATTAAGTATTCCTGAAGCATTTTGATTGAAGCTGTATGCAGCTGAATTCCATCAGAGCTACTCTATGAATCAGCTCCTCCAGTCTTGACTGTGTGCCACGCTTCATTCCTCAGCCTGCTAAATTTATATATGTAAACGTTTCACCCCTCCAGACTGAAACACTGCTTTGCTCCCCTTGAAAATGGACCTTTGTAGAAATGTTGGATCTGTACTGTGACTCACTGGACATAGACTTCAGGTATAAATCTGCTATTTCTGCTCCCTATCTGTGTCTAATTGTTTTCAAAATCCACTACAAGAAACAACAATAACCTCCGAGCAGCAACCCATACACTAAAAATGAATGTTGTAATCGTGTAATAAGACAGCTCCACTCGGGTTTTGTTTGTTTCTTTCATGTGAATTATCCATTTCAATGACAGTTCTCGCTTCACTGCATGCAAAACAATTCCCCTCTAACTGTTTTGCAGGAATGGCGTCCCTGCATCCTGGACTTGGCCCCGCCTAAGAAAACTGTGATTGGTTTCAAGAAATTCTGAGGTGCAGCCAGACCATTCTGCAGCTCTGACACAGTGCTGTGGAGATAGTTCTGGATATGCCAGATATCCATCCATCCATTATCTATACACCGCTTAATCCTCATTAGGGGGGCTGGAGTCTATCCCAGCTGACCCAGGACAGGTCGCCAGTCCATCGCAGGGCTACACTTAGAGACAGACAACCAAGCACACTCACATTCACACCTACGGACAATTTAGAATCACCAATTAACCTCAACATGGTTTTGGACTGTGTGGGAGGAAGCTGGAGAACCCAGAGAGAACCCACACTGCACAGGGAGAACATGCAAACTCCACGCAGAAAGATTCCGGTGCCCCCACCGGGACGCAAACCGGCGACCTTCTTGCTGCGAGGCAACAGTGCTACCAACTGCGTCACCTTGCAGCCCATATGCCAGATAATCAGAGTAATTATATAAACTCTAGGACCGTAGTGTCCAGGTGGATTAGTTGGTCGAGATGCCCTCACCAGGCTTCAGTGTTACTTTCATAAGGAGAAAAGCAACATCCTTCCAGGATTAACGTATTATTTTCGGCAGCAGGAGGAACAGAATACCTCTGAAATGGCCCAACTTAATGGAGTCACATTTATTTATCGTTTACTGAGCGTTACTTAGAGTCGGCTAAGTCAGTTGGTGTGCCTGCATTTTGTTCAAATGGGCGCCATCACATGTCTTAATTTATCCAAATCTGTGGTGACACTGAGAGGTCACACAGTGCCACTTAGGAAAATGTAATCCGATCAAGACAGCCTTTTTACCTTCTTGGCAACAAGAGCACAGATTTGGAAAGAAGTCCTACAATTACAAAATACAGTTTTTGTATTCTGTCTGTTATCGTGTATTTTCTTAAGCTGCCTGGTGTTGAGCTCTCAGGGGTCACTTTACAAAACACCCAAATAATAAACTTCCTTCACTAAAATAATCTGAATTGTTTAGGATTAATTACCTTCAATCAGTTGCTCGACAAAATCTGATGTTTTTTGTTTTTTTCTACACGATCTTGTTTCAAACTCTCAAAAATTGTTGATCTGATGCAATAAACGCTGGCACAAAGCTGTTTTATTTATAGTAAATGTTTCTTCTTTATTGGTTTTCTCAGCTCTTGAAGGACTTGGCTCAGGACATCCCCCCCCCCGCTCCGTTTGTTTATCTGATGAAGTAAACAGCAGTCAAGGTACAAATGTCTGCATTTGACTATTTGAACAGGAAGCGGCGTGTCTGATTTTAATAAAGAGACATCAGAAAGTCTTCTTCTAATCGTGATGCTTGTCTCTAAGATCTGGACCTGTGACATTACCACCCACGTTTAGCGTTTCCAGCTGTGAGCAACTCCTCTGCTTCATTTGTGTCCAGCAGGCTCAGAAATCGATTGTATTTGGCCTGTTTGCCTTGAGTGAACTTTATTTAGTACCTCCTGCAGCGTGTAAACACCACAGACTGAGAATTACTATCAGCCGAATTCTTTATGAAAACAACCTGAGTTTGTTTGGCTGCTTCCCTCTGAGGCTCCACCCTGATGGGATGATTCGGGGGCCCGGCGCTGGACCAGGGCCCCTAGTTCCTGGCAGGAATCATACATGTTTATAGAGATGTTGTTTGGCTGTTTCCAGGACCTGAGTATGCTCTGAGCCAATCAGAGGGGGCATCAGAGGGTGTGTTCTGTGGGGGCCAGCTGTGTGCCAGCAGCTGGCAGGAGATCAGGAAAGAGTGAGAGTTGCTGCTGAGGGAGGCATACTTTGACTTTATGTCTGACTCTCTCCTGCTTTGCTCTGTTTCTGTTTCTCTTTTGTTTCATTCCTTGGCCCGAAACTTGTTTTCAGTGTGAGAGTTCATCCAGGTTCATAGCTGTAAGGCCAGGAAACAGAAACAGAAAGACTCAGTGTTACGCAAACACACACACACACTCATACGCTCACACACAGGCTTTACACATAAACGAAACTTTCCATGTGAGCTCTGAGTGTGTTTCTCTGTGATGTGACTTTCCTGCTGATCACTATGTCCTCTCTGGGCTCGGTAACACCGACATGCAGGGGAGGAGGGTGAGGTTTGGGGTGGGGTGTTGAATGGGGGAGGAGCGGGTGAGTTTGCCGTCCTCCTGTCACCCTCTGAGGGAGCCCCTCCCTGCCTCCCTGCCCAGCCTGAAGGGAAACTCCAGCTCACTTCAACCTGAGAGACTCTCCCAACAGCAGCTGCTCGCTCCACAGCTCCTCATCCACATTTTCATCAACTCCATCCTCCTCCTTCCTCAGGTGTCCCCCCATGGCGGCCTCCCCAAAGTCCTCCAGCACAGCAAAGAACTTGCTGATAGGCGTGTTGGCGCTGTGGTCCATCATCTCGCTCGTTGTCATCGTGGTGTGGGCGACGTCTCCCGACCTGAAGGGCTCGGCCCAGTGCCGTGCCGAGCTGCAGGAGGCGACGGAGAAGCTGGAGGGAGCCAAGGTGGTGTTCAACAAGAACAAGGTGGCTCTGGAGGAGATGGTGGAGGAGGAGAGGGAGAAGCATGCCCGTCAGCAAGCTGAGATCCTGTTGCTGCTGGGACACCTCAACGCCACCAACGCTACACTGGAGGAGTGTCGGCAGGAAAACGTAAGTCACAGATTTAGTTTCATTACACCCTGTATAAAAATATTCAGCATTTACTCCACAGTCAAATATTAGAACTGGGGGGCGGAGATGTGTCTGTTTTTTTTTTTTTTTTTTTTAGATTTTGCAGAAATGAGTCAGCATCTCATGACAAGACAGGATGGTAGATTAAATAGATTAAAAATAGATTTACTGGCAGATTTTACACATGGTTTCAGAAAAATAGAATAAATTTTCCCACGAGAAGAAAGTCTCAGTTGAAGCTGTTTGCATTTCTGTGTTTATAGATTTTGCAAGTTTTTCCTTCCTAAAAATTGTACACACACACACACACACACACACACCCACACACACACACACACACAGACACACATGAGTCATTGGAGTTGAGAAATGTGGCATGAATTATGATATTCACAAGAATATTTTTCAACATCAGTGCATTTCATGGTATAGCAGAAGTCTGTAAAATCACTCATAATATAGTCAGAATTATGTAACTGTGTTTAAAAAGACAAAAAAGAAAGATTTTACACTGATGACACAGGGCTCCAAACTAACTTTTTCTACTAGCAGCACTACTGAAATCAACAGGTGACACAAAACATTCATATTTTCTTCCCCTTTTAACTGTACAAGTCATAAATGTATGAACTCATAAAGCAAAGTAGTGCTTCAAGACAGGATGTGAACTACATGGGGAATCAGGGTAAGCTTGGCTTCTCTTGTTAAGACGTGATTTATGAATTTCTGCCATGCATCGCGATTCCTTTTGTATCTTCATCATCATGGATCGTGTGTAAAATTAGGCTGTTATTAACGTAAGGTTCATGCATGAGGGTGATTAATCACTAAATATTAGCTTTAAAAGGATGCATGCTGTTCTTGCTACCATCATCAAAGCATGTTGCTCTAACTCAGTGATCAGGTGTGGCTGAGTGTTGCCGTGGAAACACAGGCTCTGGTCCAGGTCTCGGTTCAGCCTGTGGTTAGTCAGGCTAACTTTTTAGGCCTAAAAGAGGTCAGTCTTTGTTTTTGGCGTAATTGTCCTAACATGCATCAAGAGGTTCTAAGAGCATATTTTAGACTCATCTGCCGCTACCGACCACTTCCTTTGGAAGCTGGTTTCACATTTATACCTCAACAAGGAAACAACTGCAAAACTATTTTAATGTTTACTGACCGTTTACTCAGAGCTGGCTCCAAACTAACTGACACCAGCTCAAAGAAGTAGTTAGTATGGCTGCATTTTGTTCAAACAGATAAACAAAACGTGGAGTGGAATCTCAACAAACAGCGGTTTGTATATCACAGCTCAGCAACCAACATGGCAGATCATCTACAAATGGTCGGCTAACTCGTCTGCGTTATTTTCCTCAATAGCTGTGTTTAGATCAGCAGCCGATGGAGCTCTAGTTTTAGAGGTTTTATAAATATGGGCAGGTCTGCTCTTAGCCTGTTGTCATTTCAGTATAAAACAACCAGATTCTGATGATTAGAAATGCTGCAAACAGTCGCTTTGTATGTTGATTTGTAATTAATTTAGGCCAATAAGGCTCGCAGGTAGAGTACACTCAGTCCACTGTGGTCCATTTAGTTCATCTACAGATAAGACATTTTTTCTTTGCGACCAATCATTTGGATTTTAATCTACCAAGACTTTTGTTGGTTGAATATAACCTGGGAAACAACAACAACAACAAAAAAAAAACCCTGAAATGAGCCTCTGCTGCTAAGTATTGAATTCAATGTTGGTGGTCCAGCAGCCATATTTGGTCTTTTTGGTTACTTCTTTTCAAAAGGTGGAAAACCTCGTGCTGCAACTAACAATCATTTCCAGTGCCAGTTAATATGTTCAATATTTTCTCCTTTAATTCATTAATTAATAGTTATTTGTCCATAAAATGTCACCAAAATGTTGACCTTGGGTTTCATGCATACCAACCCTGAATAACACCTTAAAAGTTTTTGATTATGTCTAGGCAATATAATATTTATTAATTCATTTTTAAAGCTCATTTTTGTTTTGAGACTTCAGAATTTATAAACAGAAGCAGCTCTGAACTTAAAGTAATGAGCTGAATGAACCGCTGACAGTTACGAGCACATCGGCTGACGTCCCATCATGCATTATTTCATTTCAAACGCCCGTCCAAACGGAGCCTAAATGACTCCTAAACACCGACGCTTTGACTCAAATTACAAACTTAATACCAATCGGATGCTGAAAATAGAAACTTTTTCAATCCATCAGGCAAATTCAAACCAAAGCAGCCACACCCATCTCACCAAAACACTAACAGCTTCCATCTGTCCTCAGCAAAAACTCAGTCATATCAATAAATAACTTGCAGAAAGAGACGCTGGACAGAGGCCAGGATTCAAAAAGTTTCATCCTCAGACTGAGAGAAAGATCCAGAGTGGAGCTGCAGGCTGTGTTTTCAGTACAGTCAGTGTTTGTGTTACATGGATTTCTCCGAGTGTTAACGAGCTCTGATATGAACAGAGCAGGACTCTCCTCTGCTCTGACCTCCTCCCTCCTCTCCCGTCGACTGTTTCCATTTCTGGAGACGTTATTTTACCGCCCGGACAAAGACTGAGTAGATGCTCCCTCCCAGCAGGCCGAGTGTTTCAACTGTTTAGGTGCTTCCAACATTTCCAGCTCCACATTCTCCGAGTAGTTGGTTGGAAAAAGTGACTGTTTGCCTTCACTCTCTCTCCCTCCGCCTGTGGTTCGTCCTGAGTCACTCCTCCTTTTCCGCCCCTTTTACCTCTGCCCCACTCCTCCCTCCGTCTCTGCATCCTTACTTTTTCCTCCCCTCCTGACAACTCATCCAGTAAAAATCTCAGGATTCATGTGCTGCAGGGAATTGTTGTCTGCATCACCGTGGATTTAGTTTTTTATTTATAGCAACAGTAAATGTGCAAAGACAAAAAGCCTTTCTTCGAAGAATCCCGTTTTCCTACGAACAGGGATTTAACAAGCTGCTTGCTAGCTTCTACTACAATACCCAGAATTCCCTGTGAACACTGGACTGTACCATCACTGAGAAGTAAACTGTGTTTGAGTCACCAGTGGAGTGCTGTCCCAGTTCCATATTTAGATAAGAAGCGACCCTTCAGTCAGTGGCCTTGGTCATCATCCAGGGAAAAACAATCTGATCTCAGCAGTTCTTTGCCCTGAGGTCTCTGCAGAAACACAAGATAAACTTTGGTCTCAGACACTGACTGTAGAGCTGCCACTAATGACTATTGTTTATTGATTAAACCCTCAACTATTTTACCAATGACTGAAGCTAAAAACTACTGACATCATGACGAAAAATGTACGCGTGTTGGTTTAAAATATTGATGTCAATGCATTTTCACTATCAACGATCAACATGATGATCATTTAGAGTTGTGTTTGGGTCCACATTCATTCACCGTCGTCTGTTTTTGGTCTCAACCAGTTAGCTTATTAACTAGTTTTTTACCTGCTAAGTGCAGCGCTAGACTCACCAGCTTGTGTTTATTTGTTTCTGTTTGCTACCGATTACTGATTTACAGAAGCTTTTCCTCTGAAAATAGCTGCTTCATGTGGCTGAAAACAACACTTGGAGAGCGTTAAGAGTGAAACTAGATGATAAAATGGAGGGCTGTTGTAGCTCTGCACATGTGGCCCAACAGATGACCTGAATGGGCACTTAAGTTAACCTGCTTGTAAATGCAATCATCAACCTTTAATCCACTGTTCCTTTTTATTTTATTTCTTTGATAGTATTTAGGTGTCAGTCACAACTTTTTGTGGTTGTGCCTGACACTGAAAAGGTCAAAGTGTAAACTAAGTATAGTCAGGGGAAGCATCACTGCTGTTAATTTAACATTGACTGATATCAGATTGTTTTTAAGCGTCCAAATTCCTGCATTACAGTCATTATGTGGAGCTATAACAAGAAGAAGCAGGAAACAGAGGTGCAGCTGCTGTATGAGCTGATGGAAAGGATGTGCAGTCGTCATGATGAATCCATAAAAACACACCACTGCAAATCTCAAATTTAAATGTTTCCTGGAATAACGTAAAGTAAACGACGTCTTCTAAGGACCGCAGTTTCTGCATCCACTCAGAAAAACAGGATATTCGTTCACTTTGCACAGGAGACGTTCAGGAAAGCACCAAAGATACAAAGTTGGTTTCTTCCTCCTACCAGCTTCCTGTGTTGAGCTTCAAGCTGCTGGAACCATTTTTGGTAGGATTTAACCCCTTCAAGTCAAGTTCAGCCTCACTATATACTTTCCTCTTTCTGTGTGCAGACATGTGGCCTTTTGCTGCAGTCCTACAAAATAAAAGCCAGGGCTCCAGACTGCGACCAAAAGGGTTGCGTATTTTTTGAGAGTGTGCGAGTTAAAATTTAAAGCGTTCGCATTAGTGCGAGTGTATGACGATCATTAAGCTGTATTAGTGTCTCTGTAACCGACACAGGAAGCTACTGTGTTAACCACAGTGGTGGAAAGCAGCACTCTAGTAACTACGGTGAACTGCGCTATTGACGCTGAAAAATGCGGCCTCCTCGTGAAAAGCGGAGCGCACCTTCAGTGTGGAGCGTTGAGGGAACATTTGTAAATCGTAGATTCCATAAGAAAATTCAGCAAGTCATATGTTTCGCCTGTGACAAGGAGGAAGGTGCGACCAAATGAAAAAGTTGGTCACAGCGGTGCTACCAGTGAAAAAGTTCCTCTGGAGCCCTGAAAGCTGTAACTGAGAGCAGTTACCACCTGCAGCTCAGGAAACATATTTCACCGTTATCTTATCAGCCTTTCCTGCTTTATGTCCTCAGCTGTGGAACATCTGAACTACAAGTGATATTTGTAGGTTTTTTGTGATATTTTGGGTTTTGATTGATGTACTTTAGTCTTTAATGTTAATCAGCTGTGATGTTTTGTTTCTGACTTTTTAACTTTCTTTCTTAGACTTTGTGTTTTTCATGTGATGCCAGTCGTGATTTAACTTTATATTTTATAATTTAAGCCTACCAACTCCAAGCAGCTTCTGGTTAGCTTTTGCTCTGGTCACATTTTTACGTCCGTTTTAAGTCCTGTGTCGCAATGGAAACAGCACAACCACGGCTAGAAGGAGAGAGAACATCTCCTGTGCAGTATAAATCAATGTGTTTCACAGTTTTCCAAGGGCCCACAGGTGTTACACTAACCTGCTCTAGATAATCAGCTATTTACATGTTGACAACCTCCATGAACTCAGACTTTTTACACTACTCTACACATCAGCTCTAGTAACAGATTTCAGCATTCTGAAAGTATCTTCCCACAACTTGCTGCTCTACATGAAGAGTTCATTTGCAAAAACAGATCACTCCATCTTCACAAACCTTCAAAAAACCCGCTTTTCTATCGTCTACCTGAGACGATATCAATCAAACTTAAGTTATGTCTATTTTTTGTCATGTCGAGTCAGATCCACTTAACTTCAGTTTGTTTGATTTTATCTCAAGCAAACAACAACAAAAATAAGTTTTCTGAAAGTCTACAAAAATGGAGTTATCTGTTTTTGCAAATGAACTCTTCATGTACAGTTCTTGAGCCATGCTGTAGTCGTTCTTGTCGTCTCTTCTCTGCTCTGTAAACGCTGCCTGCAGTTCACCTGAAAACTCCCCCAAGCTTTGTCATGTTGGGTCAGTCGAGGCTTCTTAGTTGTACTGAGGAGCTCAGAATCTTAGTTTTTTATGGGATCTGGTGCAAACGTTTTATTTTTGAATTTGATTATTAAATACATAATGTTTTTTTTTGTTTTGTTTATAAAAGAAAACGCTTTTCAAAATTGCTGATAACTTTTGGGTTCAGAAGGTAAAAAACATCGACACTGTCTCTATCAAAACTGGCTGTCTCATTGCAAACTTCTTTGTCTCCGAAATCATCAGTTTCAATATGCAGCTGTTCAGTCAGCGTTTTGTCTGAGGAGCAGAAACCACAGCTGTGGTTTTTCACAACGGCTACTGTATGCAAATTCTGAACATGAAGTAGCTCTTCCTCTGCATCACATCCTGTTGAGCAGCTCCAGGTGTTCAGATTGTTTTTAGTCCTTAAGGAGGACTTGGATTTCCCTGATCGGGGGATTTTCCAAGTTTTCTGTCAGAAGACTGTGGAAGAGGCAACAGAGGTTACAGGAGCAGAAATAGAAGGAGGCACACATTAGGAGCTGTTTCTACATTAGCCTGACAAGCTAACCTTTGTGAGCTTTGTGTGTGGAGCATTGCTCCAACGGATGCTGTCTCAGTTCGCCAGCAGCAGCGGTAACATTTCAGGATGTGAACATTGTGACGACACGCTGTAAATATAAACTAACAGCTTCAGTTCTGTGTTCAGACCTGGACGTCCGTCTTTGAGCTGTCTGCTCCTTGAAGTGCTCCGTGATGCTGTTTGCATTCTGGCTGCTGCTCGTCTGTAACTCATCCCTGATTATATACTCAAACACTAAATATCTCCCGAGTGACTCCTGCAGTGTTTTGTGTTGCTGCTGCTGCACATGTTGTTGTTATTGTCCAGGACCGGCAGCGTCTAAGCTTACGTCAGTTCCTGCAGGACCAGACAAACACAAGGACCCACAAGATTTCAGGAGTCTGACATGGACTTGGTACCAAAGTATCTGATAGCATAATGATCACATCGTCACTGTACAGCATCAGAAATATGATTAGTCCACTTCATGTTGTTCTGTTATCAGAAACCACTCAGGATGGATATGTTTGTGTGAACTGCTCCTTTAAGTGCCGATCTAACTATAACTGCTGCGTTCGATGAAAGGAATGTTTCTAAAAGCCGTTCCCAGCATGGAGTGGACAGACGGGGCTGCCCTGCTTTCAGTCACCACCTCAGCTCTGAGAACGTTCAGTCTGGTCCGGCTGAGTGTCATTCTGAGCCCGTCGATAGTCCACAAGTTCTGAGTTTGTCTCCAGGAAAGAACAGATAAAGTTCAGATTATGTTTTCGCTCTTGACAAAAATAACTGATAAACCAGGAGCGACACGTGGAAACGCCTTTTTTATTACGAGCTCTGATTTGAAATAGAAAACAGGTCATTCAAAGTAAAATGATACTGAAAACACTGCAAGTAGCGTTTTTATACCAACACGTTCCAACATGAAAGTCACAGCGACACATGTTCAGTCCAACTAACAAAACAATATTTATCTTTTTTACTATTTTGTGTCACTTTATAGACCAAATAATTATTTGATTAATTGAGAAAGTAATTATTGACTAATTATTTGACAGTGACAAAAGCCGTTAACCTATAAGCACATCAAAGATTTGCCTTAAGAGTTTTGATTTCATGTAACTGGCACATTTGATGTGATTTTTGACCTGACCAGATTAAGTAGTCATCAGAACCCTCATTTGGTAGAAGACTATTCTACCAATAATTGATTGATTGGGGACTGCCTCTGGTTCTGGTCCAGCTGGGTGTGGCTACAGATGAAAAACACCTGAAACTTTAAACCAGTGAGGGCAGACAAATCTCAACTTGGTCCTCAGCAGGACGAACCAGAACACAAAGACAGGTTTAAAAGGTTTAGAACCTGCCTCTGAACTTTCTTCAGTAACCTAGAGATGTTTTTTTTTCTGTTATCCATGAAGCACTGCAAACAGGAACTGCTAACAGAGAATCCTGCTGCTTTTAATAGCACCAGTTTGACAAAATCCTAACAAATCCAGACTAAAAACAGAGAGAACAGCAGCACCTCTCTGGAGCTGAGCTCACAGGGTGCAGCTCTCCTGACATCTTTCATGTGCTCCTTCTTATTGCTTTCCAAATAGACGTCTACGCCGGTGTTAACACGTTTTCGTCACTTCTTCCATTTTCACACCAAAGCAGAATTTCACACTGAGCTGATAAAATGCAGGAGATGGAAAAAAGCGCCAAGTTTGGCTTAAAATTACAGGGACGGGCTTTAAATGACAGGAGGAGCACGGTTCACTGAGAAATCTGGAGGTTGTTTTTAGTCATTACTGTGGACGGGCTGAAAAATGAGTCACATAAAAACACTGTCCGGGACGACTAATACCAGAAGCTACTCACCTCTCGAAGAAAAATAAATCCCAATGGAACGAGACTGTAAAATGATGATATCAGTTTGGTTTGTTGCCACCGGAAGATTCAGAAGGCTTCAGTAACTGAGGAGGAAGAAAAGGAGTGTAGTGAACATCAATAAAACGTATTGATAAGCAGATATATTCACCAAGTGGAGAGTTTTGGGCACAATTTTATTTGTATTTAGTCACTCTGAATTAAGGTGAAGATTATTCCCTTATTTTAATATAGATCAGTAAAATCAGTGTTTTGTTTATTTGCATGTAGAAATGTAATAAAATATCTCTAAAAATCAATCATTAATCTAAAGCTGAAGCTGCACAGTTAGTTTTAATGCTTATTTCAGGTTATTATGAACATGTTGGACTCAGTTTTATTCATTTTGTGCTTGAGAGTAAACAGCTCAGTCTTTTCTTATTGATGCAGCATCTGATTGTTTTCATTCCTCGGAAATAAAAAGCAGAAATGTTACTGAATGCAACTCTTTTGTTTTCTCTGCTGCACTGAAAACCAGCTCCAGATCCCACAGTGACGGCAGCTGTAGGATTTTTGTCATTTCACTTAGTTTCAGTCCAGACTGGCTGTTAAATACCAATAAGTGTGGCCAAGGGAGAAAACAAAGAGTAAAAGTGCAAGTTTAAAGCACTCAGGAGGTCCTTTCCTTTAACCACTCGGTGTGTTTTCCTTCATGCTCACAGTAACACGTGTTTTTTTTCTTTGGGGTGTGTTTGTTTCGTGCTACAGGTCGTCCTGAACGGGAACATCACCCTCCTGCAGGAGCACATCGAGCAGCTGCGTCAGAAAGAGGCAAACCTCACGGCTCAAATCAGCCTCCAGGAAGGTAGGAAAAACTCCATCACTGCCATGAAAGGAGACTTTCTCAGTGAGCCACCAGCGGTATTCTTAGCTGCATTTTCCCCCGCCTGTTGCCATGACGACGCCTGAGTCTGTAAATAAATACACACGATTGGTCGGTTTAAAAAAACGAAAAGAAAAAAAAAGAAAGTGCTCTGAGAAAGACGAACGGCGATGAGTCAGAAAGACAAACGTAAAACAATCTGTTACACAAGAGTGAAAATGAACTGTATTTAGTAACCTCTAAGAGTTTTCACATCTGGTCACAGAATTAAATCCGATATGATAAAAGAAACTGAAAACATAAATAAATTTGGAAGTAGAAGAAAAATAATCCTGTTCATACTGAGTACATTCTGCATTAATGAAATCAGACAGGAAACGATTTCAAATTAAAAAAAACAAAAAAGAGAAAAAAATATAGTTTTTGAAGAAGGCAAGAAAAGAAACAAGAAACAAACGAGGAAAACTGTTAAGAAAAGACGATGAAAAGATGGTCAGTGGGAAGGAAAGAAGGAAAGAAGGAAGGGAAGAGGGTTGATCTTGTTTCTGATTCAGGGAAACGTGCTCTGGGTTTGTTCATGGCACCGAACTTTGTGTGTTTGTTGTGTGCGTTCATGGAGGTTTGCATCTGATGCATTGAGGTGAAACTATCAAACATTCAGTTGAGCATTTGCTAGTTGATGAAGTGTTTATCACTGGGACTGCTATCATTCTATCGTCAAGGTCGAGTGCTGCTGTGTCTGTGGCCTGTTGTCACTGTTGATAGTCGATGTGTTCAGGATCACACGTTTACAGATTATATGTCCGAATCCGTGCACTTTTGAACTTATAGCCAATCTTAAAGTGTGACATCATCTGTAAGCACATCTGGGACCTGCACCGGTGCTGTTACTGTGCTGAACCCTCGTTATTGTTGCCTGGTTGCTGCTCGTGTTGCGGCTCCTCGGCAGCTGGATGAAGGTTGGTGTCAGGACAGTCAGGCCTGTGGAATGTGGGTTTCCCTGTGCTGAAGTCAGGGTCGCAGCGCTACGCTAACGGCTCAGAGGGAGGAACTTCACAGCTCAGCTCAACATGTCAGACTGCAGCACCGACAGAGAACGTTTGTACAACCCTTTATTTGGCTTCTTGGTGCACTCATCATATTGGTCCTGATTATTAATAATCATGAATACTCGTCATACCCACAATAACCCGCATCCAGAGCCACAGAATAAAAATAATTGTTCTGTGAATGTTATGTAATGAGAAGAGACTGACTCTCCCATAGAGGAGCTGTGTGCTGCCACATTTACCAAATTAACCAGTTAGTTGATCAAGTCTTCACTTCTCTCTCTTGTAAAGCTGAATACTTCTGTTTTAAACTGTCAATGCGAATGTGTTCTCAAAGTTTTTCTGAAGTTTCCAAAGACATTAAGTGGCGGCTAGTTGCCCCTGATTTGCATAAAGTAGCCTCGACCTCAACTTAACACAGATCAGGAGTCAGAATGAAAAACCACATCACAGCGCCACCAGAAGGCGCATGGCATGGACGCCTACAAGCAGTGACGAGTATCGGTAGTGTGTCTGTCTGTAGTTGTAGCTGTCAGAAGAGGGTCTAAGCAGAACCGTTGTAGCTGCAAGTTATTTCATTTAGATATTCAGGAGCATTGGATTGATTTATTGCTGTCATTCTGTTACTGTTTTTATTTTGGAGGATGCAGTTTGTTTGTCAGTCTTCCATGAGCTGGACTTGCTTTTTTTTCATGTGAACGTTTCCTTGCTCTGTCTCCCTTTTGTGTTTTTAACTTTAACTGCAATGTTGACATGTGGAAATTTCAGGGTTGGGCCCAGTGTGTTAAATTTTTTAACCTGGCAACTGCCCAAAATATTTAAAAAAGGGTTCCATGGCGTCAGATCAGTGTTTCCCAAACATAGATTTATTTGTGGCAGTGTGCTGTTATTCAACACTGAGCACCACATGATGCTGATTGTCTATTTCCTACCATTTTAAACGGGTAAATCTCATTCTGATCCTCTCTCTCTATCTCACAAACACACTGACAACAGAACTAAAAGCCTCTTCTGTCTCACACTCTTGAAATAAAAATGTACAGCTTGTTCTTTTATGCAGAGCAGAATGAGTTTGGAGTACATGAATGGTTTGTATCAGAAACACCTCTGCACAAACATCCAAAACGGACACATTCCAGATCATTCTGATAAATTAGCTCCAGCTGACCCAACCCTTCAGTTATTACAAGCATGTACGGCACTGTGCTACCTTTCCAGAGCTGCAGCTCATAACTGTGGCAGGGACACATTTGGTTTTAAGTTCCTCTAACTCGAGCCTGGCTTGTAGCAGCTAACTAGTATTTACTGTCCAAACCAGCTGCAGCTACACAACATTAAATAGCTGTTACACTGTCATTTGGGCTCATCTACACATTTTATGGCAGATGACAGTAACTCAATCACTTCTGTCAGCATCAGTGGCTTCTGCTAACTCACACACAGCTTCTCCAACTGCCAGCTTCTATTAGCTTTGAACTGCACTTTCACAGGCTAATTATTCACTGAGCTCAATTCTCAAGGAGGTAAACCATTACATTTGCAAAACCAATTAAAAAAAACAACCGACAACGGGCTCAGCTGATATGTTCGTCCACTCAACCAAAGTGAATCTTATTAATAGGAGACGTTTGTCAAGGCAGGTTTCCTCCAGTGGAGTCGGAGGCAGCAGAAGACAGAGACCTTGTGATTGCAGTTACCCAACAGTTATATAAGAGCTTCACATGTTAATAGAATAATGGGCTGTTCCCAAAATTGCCTGTGACTCTATGCAACATGAAAACGCAAACAAAAATAGTCAAACCCGATTAAAACAGGAGCATTTTTCCATAAGTTCTATGAATTGATTGTCAACTGTTACATTAATCACCAGCTATTCTGGTAATCAATTAATCCATCTGGGTGATGCTTTAAGAAAAAAAGTTCTCTGATTATAAAATGTCAATAATTTCTTGTTTCTTTCCTTCTCTGTGACGTTAAAATAAATGTCTTTGAGTTGTGGACAAAACAAGACATTTAAAGACACTGTCTGGGTCTTTTTTGATTTTGATTTTGATTTTACTATTTTGTGAAATTTTATAGACCAAAAAAATGAATCACCTGAAGAAAACAGAAAACAACGGACAGATTAGTCAAGAATAGAAATAACCATTAGCTGCAGCACAGTTCACCTCCAGTTAATATATTTTATATTGTTAGTATTTTTTATTTTTTTTCTCACAAATTTCACAGCATAGTGAAAACACCCATCACAGGGTATCCACACCCATCCTAAAGCTACAGGTGACACTGGAATCACCAACTATTTTGATAATTCAGTGTTTGGATCAGGCAGCTCATGAAAAGCAGGTGTCAGATACACATTCAATCTTCATTATCTTCATTTGGCTCCCCCACTTCGGCCTTGGAAGGCTGATATCTCTCCATTTCTCCTGGATGTCATGCAGACAGATGCTGGACACCTCCCCTCCCCACCACCCTTCCTCCTTCCACAAGTCTTGAGTTTTGTTGTCATGTTTAATTATGTTGCTTATGTGCTGAGGTTTTTTCCTAATCCCACACTGTGCCCCCCCCCTAGAGGAGCCTAGTTTGGGAATTGCCTTTTTTCCCCCTCGTCTTCCCTCTTGTTTTTCCTTTTTCTATCTAAAATAAGGGACGCTCTCATGTTAGCTGACCTGAACAGTTTCTCCCTCCTGCAGGGGGAGACCTGTTGTTGGTCACTGTCTTTTTTATGTTTCTTGGACGGGATGTAACTGGTAGTTTCGTTGCTCTGTACTTGTGACATGTGCAGTGACAAATCAATCTGATTCTAATAATCATATAAGTTGTGTCACATCAGGCTCCCTATCAGTCAAAAAAGGATGTCACACTCGTTTTTAAGAACATTCCTAAAGCTAAATATGAAAAGTGTTTTTTCCTCAGTGTACAATCTGATAAGAAAATAAAATAAAGCGATTTTCCTTGACTAAAAGTCTCCAGCGGCAGCGGGGCAAAAACAGTGGCCTGGTGGGAAACGGGGACGGACTTTAATGAAGGTGACTTCCTGCTGCGAGCGGTCGGAGGGAAACGATAAATTCCTGTATGAATGAGATATGAAAGGAGCATTGTGTTCGCCGGGAGCCGCCTTCTCTGATAAACATCAGTCACTGTTTAATGTGAACACGTCATGGTGGAAGAAACAAGTCAGCTGTACAGACACATCTGACAGCGGAAAGCATCCAGGTTTTATTTTGAAATGTTTCACTTTTCAGTCCTGAAAGTGTTAAAATCAGCCAGAGCAGTGAGATTGAACGCTTCACTGTAATCCAGGGAAGTTACGTCTGCAGGAGGGCTGCTTCTAACTATTATTTGATCATTCTGTGGATTATCGTCTGGCTTCATCAATAGTTGTTTGATCTATACAATGGCAGAAAGTGTTGAAAAATGTCCATCAGTGTTTCCCAAAGTCTAAGATGGTGTCCCCAAATGTCTTGTTTTGTCCACAACCTAAATGTAAATCTGAAAAAAAAATCACAACAAAGAACCTGCAGTCAGAGAATTGAGACAATTTTCCTGAATAATTTCTTAAACTGATTGGTTATGCTGGTGGCAGTAGATGGAAACGGCTAGAACGATGCTGTGGCGTGTGAATCCCATCAGGTTGTAGGACTCAGTGACCGGTTCAGTGATCTCATCCAGTCTGAACACACAAACAAGCCGGAGAACAGAAAACATTGCAGCGTGCGACTCTGTGATAAGACTGCATGTTACCTTATAAGTTAATGCAGCAGCAGACCTGAGCCAAACCCTGGAAATGAGCAGAGCAGCAGCAGAGCAGGAGAACAGACTCAGGATCAGTTAGTTACTGTTGCTGTGTTGGGACGGCTCTCAGTAAATAATGCAGCCACGTCAGGCTCTGCTAGAAACACTGAAAGAGTTTAAACTGCGACAACTAACGCAGTGAGATGCCTGCTGTAGAATGAGTCCTACAACATAAACCAGAATGTAAGGGGAGTGTTTGGTAACGGTCTGGGCGTGGCTGACAAACAGATACAGGCTGGAGAAGATGTCTGTGAAGATTCTCAGTCATCCAGGTCAGGGTTATTCTCATAGATTAACTTGCTTGAGTTCCTTGAAGACGTTCCACCTCTCATCCAAGAGGCTTCATCAGTTCTGACTGACTAGTTGGGAGATCCAGATACTTGTATCCTTAAGGAGCCATTAACACCTGAGTTTCGGTTTCAATTGGAGGTTTGTTGCTCCTCCCCCTCGTTATGTGAGTCGTTAGTGCTCCCCCTGCCACAATAGGGTTCATTAAGGTCTTTTAGGTGTGAATGTGGTTTCATCTTCCTGCGGCGAGATCTTAATACAGGCTGGAGAAGAAGCAAGGATGGATAAGCTCCTGGTGCCAGACATGACACCAAAAATTAGTTTAAAGAGAGTGAAATGAGGAGTTCTCTGTCAGATTTACCTGAAACCAGGTGATTCCATCTACCTTGCCTGTTTCTATGAATGTTCATTTAATTGTGGGAAGATACAACTGTTTGCTCGATTTTGCAGCAGTAGAACTGCAGTAGTCTTTGTGGTTGAGAGCCGTACTTTTCTCCTTTTCTGGTTCAGTCGGGGGCTGCAAGGTGGTGCAGTTGGTAGCACTGTTGCCTCGCAGCAAGAAGGTCGCCGGTTTGCGTCCCGGTGGGGGCACCGGAATCTTTCTGCGTGGAGTTTGCATGTTCTCCCCGTGCAGCGTGGGTTCTCTCTGGGTTCTCCGGCTTCCTTCCACAAGGTCCAAAAACATGTTGAGGTTAATTGGTGATTCTAAATTGTCCGTAGGTGTGAATGTGAGTGTGCTTGGTTGTCTGTCTCTAAGTGCAGCCCTGTGATAGACTGGTGACCTGTCCAGGGTGTCCCCTGCCTTCGCCCTAAGTCAGCTGGGATAGGCTCCAGCCCCCAAGACCCTAATGAGGATAAAGCGGTGTATAGATAATGGATGGATGGTTCAGTCGGTGTCTTGCTGCCTCCACCTGGACTCTGATCATCAGGTGTTTCTGGGTCAGGACCTCCTCTCGTCAGCCTCCTCCTCTCTGTCCTCATTATCAAAACCAGCCTGATGATCCTCTTACGCCCACTTAAATGGAACCACGAGAAATGTTCTAAAATGGTTGCATATGTGACCATCTGAGTCACAGTCTGGAGCGCTGATGCCAGTTAGTATAAAGTTCATTTCACAATAAAAGCCATGTTAAGAAACGGACAGTTGCTGTCCACTGAAACCAAACAGGCCTTTTATATGTGACTCGTTACCGGGAGTGTGGAGTTTGTATGAATAGTGTCATACAGTCACTCTAACAGTAGTAGAAGCACATTTCAACAAGGCTTTGTACTAAAACATGACATGACAAGCATGCACTGGTCAGAGAGAATTAAACATAAAGGCCTTCCTCATCTTTGTGTTCTCTCAGAGTCTTCATGGCTTTTACTGGTAATACTTCTCCAGTCTTGTGTTGCTGCTGCTCAGAAGGCAGCAGAGGGCGCTGTCTGGTCACATAACACTGTACATGCCTTAATGCCTCTTTGATTTAAAATATATTGTTGTAGAGCTACAGGCTAAACAGGCACAAAACACAAGTCGTTCTGCATACAGAAGCTCCTGCATTTATCTGAGAGAGCACGTATGAGGTTTGAATATAATCTTAATAGATTTATGTCATTGAGATTGCATCAGTAAAAAAAAAAAAAAAAAAAAAACATGAACAGGTTGTTTTCTGCTAATTAAATATTTATTCTTAATGTAGACTTCTTTGCTGTCCCTCTTGGTTTCCCATCACTCATTCAGGTAATCAGATGTTATTGCGGACTCAGAATCCAGATGAAATACATCACATAGAATAAGCGACATAATCACAGTAAAGTTTGGTAAAAAAGAAATGTAACTCTGTGCCCTACAAAGAGACGACTGTAATAATCAAATCAGGTTTATCGTCATGTTGCTGTACATACACAGTAGTACAGGCAAGATGACAGAGCGTTTCTTCAGGATCCAATAACTTAAAGCAATTTAAATAAACAAGTGTTTGCATATCTGGATCAGCAGCTTGTGGCATGAAGCTGTTGATCAGTCTGGAGGTTCTTCCTTTAACGCTCCGGAAACGTTTGCCTGATGGTAACAGTTCAGACAGTTTTATGGAGAGGGTGTGAGGAGTCCCTGACAATGTTCAGTGTCCTGCTCCTGCAGCGGCTCTGGAAACGTTCTTGGACAGAGGTGAGGGAGCTCCTCTAACTATCCTCTGCAGGGCTTTTCTGTCTGACATACTGCAGCTGGAGCTCCATGTTGAGATGCAGCATGTCAGAGCGCTCTCCACCACACCTCTGTAGAAAGTCCTGAGGATGCTGGCAGGGAGAGAGGCTTGTTTCAGCCTCCTCAGCAAAGTTTGTTGTGTCAATAGCTGGGATTTATAGTGTGGTAGAACTAAACCTCATGTTTGTGATTTCATTTTCAGGGTCACACTTTGTAAGGTGTTGACTCCATCGTCATAAGCTTCTTGAAGTCTTGTTTTTTTCTGTACAAGTGTGCAGCATGAAGTGGCATTCAACCTGCTCTGAACACGTTTACACACTTGCTTGTTCACACATACAGCATGTGGCACCACATGTAAACATCTTCATCATCTGTTATTTGTTCTGTAGTAAAATGACTCTTAGATGTTATGATGGTTAAAAAGTATTGAAAAGTCTTTATTATGTTGAACCTGCAGGAGACTGTGGAGAAGCCGGGGGATAAACATAATGACTGAACAAAAACGATGAGCTGCAGACTTGTTGCTTCCAGACCTGCAGCTCAGTTTTTGATTAATCTGTTCAATACTATCAGATCAAAGACTTCTACCAACCTAAATGCTGATTAAATCTGTATCTGGCACCAGATTTATTCAGTTATTCAAACACTGAAAGTTAAAAAAAATCTGATAAAAGTTGAGTTGAGGAACGTGACTGTGATGTTTCTTTACCTCATAAATAATCTGTTATCTCAGACTCAAACCTCACCGGAGCGCACAGTTATTCTCATCACCAGTCATTTTTAAATTCATCGTTTGATTTATATTAATGTTAATGTGTGACATAGGAAGTATGGCAAAGGAAAGCAGGAGCTCTTCTGTTTGGGGGTACATTTACTTATTATTTTTACTGTCGATTATTTTCTGGATTAATTGATTGTTTTTCAGTTTTTCCCAAAGCCAAGATGACAAATGTCTTGTTTTGTCCACAACTCAAAGATATTCAGTTCACTGTCAGAGGATGAAAGGAAGCAGTAATATTCACATCTAGGCTGCAGTCGGAGGATTTAGACCTTGTTTCCAAATCACTCAAACTGAATAATCAAAATAGTTGGAGAATAATTTAGTGGTTGGTGACTGTTGGATCGCAGCTCCGGTCAGTTCAGCTGTTTGTGTTGTTCCTCGTATTGACACAAGTTTCCCTCTTCTGTCCTCAGAACACATCGAGGCTGTGGAGCACAACGTGACTCAGGCCATCTATCAGATCGAGTCCTGCGTCAGGGAGAAGGCGGTGGCCGACAGCCAGATGGCGTTGGCTCAGACTAATACCAAAGCCTGCAAGTCCAACGAGCAGCGCCTGGAGAAACAGCTGTGAGTCTTCAGTGTTCTTTACCTGAGTTACTGATGTTCTGATCGAGGCTGCAGCTCTGATCGTGTTTCTGCGTTTACAGTGACAAGTGTAAAAGCGCTGAATCCGAAGTGCCTCAGCAGACGCAGCCGCAGGAGGCCGCTCCACCCAAGTCGGCCGCCTCCCGCCTCGCTGGCGTTCCTGTGTTGACGCTGCTCATCTGCAGCTCTCTGCATCTGAGAACCTGTGAGTAGCAGTCGCCTGTTTCAACACATAATCGATCACACATGACGCTAAATCACAGCTGACTGGTATCAACAGGGAAAGCCACGATTGGACGAAGTAAAAAGTCTCAAATTTTATTCACAAATATTGTTTGCAGTCTGCTAATGCTGCTCCTGAAATAAATTTGCATTTGATTTTTAGCAAAAGCCGTCAGTGCAGACCTGTTTGTTAAAAAATGTACATGTGGACTTTTTAAAATCGCTGCTATGTTGTTTGTCCGTCCATCCATTTCTCCACATCATGTTCACTGATCGATTACTGGGATCATCAGGAGTTACTGTTGTCGTGCTGGCAATGCTGACAGAAATGTGGTTCAAATATCAATGCAGTAAATAAAGGCTCATAAATAATTGTAGGTCTCATTGTTCCTGCCGCTTTATTGATATCTTTCATATTTTGTAAAATGTACTTAATGTGATGGATGTGTGTAAATAGCACAGGATGGATGGATTAACCAGTGAAGCTTCATTAATCTGAAATTTAACACCTTCTGTCGTCTTTAATTGAAAACAACAACAAAAAATCTGTAATGTTTTTACCTTTAAAATAACTTTTATTTATTTAGTAGAAACTACACCTAAAACATTTCCAGTTCCAAAACTCCCCCACCACACAGCAAACAGAGGCAGCAGCTCCTCTCTTTAACATGTAAACAAACCTGCTCAGCTCTTAAATGCAACACTAATAGTTGAGAAATGTGACATGTTAAACTACTGATGATCCAGCTTCAACCCCTACAGTGACGTGTTGCTGATATTTTACCAGAACAAACTATTTTCCAACAGCAGGTTACTCAATATTGGTATGTTCAGACCGTCCCTCCAATGAATGATGGAACAAAAACACCTACCAGACTAAATATTTCTAACATCTTGACTGAACTTAGTGCAAACAGATGCACCTGAAATCCCCAAAAAGTTGTGGCCTCCATGTATCAAAGACAAACTTGAGCTGTCGTGTCAGTCAGTGATTCCTCATAAACAACAATAACAAGAGAAGCTTGTTTATCAGAGAATAAGCAGAGCGCCACCTGCTGGTTGGAGCTGCTCACCGCAGTGATAAAATGGAAAATTCACAGCAGGAAACCAGCAGAACCTGTTTCACTTTCTGTCTTTAATTAATTGAGGTGAGACAGAGTTTAACATGCCAGTACTGTCAAACTGTTGTAAGTGAATTGGTGGCTGCAGGACTTCAGAGGTGCTTTGATTCCATCCTACTGACGACCAGCCACAGAAGGAAGTTATAAAGTCTCCTCTGGATTCTCCGTCTGCCTGCTGAGCTCGACACACCTCAGGAACTCTGACATTGTGCAACAGTCTAACCTGTAACCAGCTGAGATCATGTATCACTGCATGGAGACATGATAAAAGTGTTCTCAAGTGTGATACAGAAAAAAAGCTTGTGAATGACAACTAGTTTTTTCATAGAAGGACATCAACAAGTTACTAACTAAGCAACTGTAATACCACAAAGCTTGATTAATACTCCTGCGTTGAATCTACACCGTTGTGAGAATCTGTATTCATGAGCTGGTGTTTCTGTGAAGGTCTGCAGTTAAACCGTCAGTTTCTTTGTGTAGTTCAATCAACAGTAGCTGAAACGGAGCAGATCATGAGTCGACCCATTACATATCACCCTGTGTTTTACTGACGCTTAATCATCAAGTATTAGGCTACAGCTCAGTGGACCAATCACAGGTGTTGCGCTCTGCATCAGTAACAGTAACATCCTGTTGAAAATCGCTACTATCAGTAGCTTCACTGTTTTTTTTCTTTTTCTTGCTCCCTGAAGGCAGAGCGATAGATATACAGAGTAAGGCAAACGTGGTTTCGGGTCAATCTAACAGAGCCATATTCGCACCGAATGTTCCAAGGCCAATACATCATCTCCTTTTAAAACCAAGTGTAGTTGCTGTGGAGCTTCTCGCGCTAATATAAAGCTACATGCAGCACAGATTCAACACAAAACTACAAACCACACAAGACCACAGGTGTTTTTCCTCTGAGGTAGATTAAACAAGCAGCAGGTTAGTTCGACATTTCTGACAATCAGCTCTGTGTTGTCTCTAAATCCAACAGCTCAGCTCCGACCTCCTGGTTCAGGAACCTGTTCTAACTTAGAACCACTTCGTAAAGAACCATTAAAGTTTTACTTCAGTTACGCTCATCCCTTCCTGAACAAATTTCTGTCACACGAGTTTCATATAAGCAGCGTACTGAACACCTACTGCTGTCTGTCTGCACCACTAGTCATGTGACTCATGTGTTTCGTGTCCTCGTGCGTCTGTGTGAAGAAATCCTGACAAACATGATTCTCAGTTGACCTGCTCAGGTGTTGTTACTTGATTAGCAGGCAAACACCACAAACTAAGTTTCGTATCACCTGAACTGAACAAATGCGGCTCCACAACGCTTTACAAGGCAGATTAGACTCCACTGTAGTTACAGTGAAGTTGCTGAAGTAACCACGAAAATACAAACCAGAAAAAACAAAACAAACTCCTGTTGCCATGGTGACAATTACTTTATCCAGCTGTGTTTCATGTGGCAGCAGGTTTTCACACAACTCTGCTGTGGACAATGAAAGCCTGAGTAACATAATCAGGGCCTGACAGCACTGAATGTGTGTGTTGTGTTTCAGGAGCTCGGTACGGCGGACGGTCGCACCAACGGCGAGCACCGCGGTCCAGGAGGGGGCGGAGCCTGGACCGACACAATGACTGCTGTACAGACTTCCCGCAACAAGCAGGTCGCCATGGAGACACGTCACGCTGTCGTATGATGAATGATTGGATGCAGACTTTGCTTAAACTGCACAGCTGAGACGTTTACTGACCGCCGGACTCCGCGGCCTCGACTCCTCACGCTTTACAGACACCAAGCTTCGCCGCTGCTTTTTCACTTTTTAGGCCAAGAAGGAAAACGTTTCCGATCCTGCCACAGTTTCCTTCAGATAAAATAAGCTTAAAATCCAGAAGTGCTCCTCATCAGGTTTTTACACTCGGCTGTAATCAGTGTGTGAATGGATTTATTCTGCTGTTGTTGTTGTTGTTTTTATTTTATTGCATTTGCTTGATGTTGTGCTTTTTAAAGACGAACTCACAGCCTGCAGCTTCTGACACTGCAGCAGACCAACGACTCGACTCTTAGAGGCTTTTATTGAATTTTCTCAGATGCTGGTTTGAGGGTGGGGGGTTCAGGGGGGATGTTTTCATTTGAATAATAAACCTGAGGAGTTTCTAAAACCACAACGTTTCCTTTGTCCTTATCTGAACTGAGAGTACAGTTCAACTAGCCACCTCAGCACTTTGTCTTTTATCTTATGAAAGTTTGAAGGATCGTTCCTGCACATCTTCTGCCTTTCAGGAGGAATCTGGCCAATAAACACCTCCCATTACTATTTTCACGTCATTTCTTTCTTTCGTAGGACAACAGACGTTACTAAACATGGGTTTGACAACTTTTTTGAGCATTATATCTTTACAAAGCAGTCAGTTTCGGCCATCGTTGCATTTCTGTAGCAGCAGTATGTTCTAACGTAGACGAATTATTTAAAACAAACAAAAACAGGCGAGTGGAGTTTTTAAAAACCTTTAAAAGCCTTTATTTTGTGCTCTCCAACAGCAGGACATTTGTGTTTGAGTTTTACAGACACTTGAGGACGCTGAAGTCACAGATGGTTCCTCTGGGACATCCACACAGCTTCCCGATCCTCGAAGCTTTCCGCACCGCACACTGCTCACCTGCATCACACTGACACACACAACACACAGGTGAGCGTCAGTGCAGATCCAGTGAAACCCTTTAATAGTAAATGTTTCTGAAAACACTGAGATAACAGCTAACTCACATCTTCATCCAAATACTGAAGGTTCTGATTTAAAAACATACCTGGCCAGATGTGCCGTTGGAATTTAACAACTTTGAACAGTCAAAACAAAGAGACACAAACCATCACAATGAGACACAAAGCTACCACAAAAAGACTGAAAATGACCAGAAGGAGGAAAAAGACAAAATGAGCACAGACACAAAACCACAAAAGATGCAAAATGACCACAAAGACTTAAAATGATTTTCTCGTAGATTAATCGTAGCAACTGGACTTGCTTGAGTTCTGTCTTCAGTGCTCGGTACCACATTCGTTAAGGTCTTTCGAACCCTTAACGAACAAAAGACCTTAACGAACCCCATTGGGGCACGGGGAGCACTAACGACTCGCATTACAAGAGGGAGGCGCAACAAACCCCCAGCTGAAACTGAAACGTCTTCAAGGAACCAAGCAAGTCCAGTTGCTACGATCAATCTGTGAGAATAACCATGACCTGGATGACTGAGAATCTTCACAGACAACTTAAAATGACAACAAAGACACAGACTAAAAGAGACACAAACCTTTGCAATGTCAGACACAAAGGTTTGGGTCACTTTAAGTCCGTGTCCAGAACCTGACTGTCTCAGAATCTGTCGATGATTTTGTCCCATTAGTGTGACTTTCTCCTGTTTTTCTCTTTCGTTGCATGTGTGTTCACACAGCTGTGTAGCAAATGTGTGTATTTAATTTGACTTTATGTGTGCGTCTCAACTGACATGTTTGTTGTGTGAACATAAAGCAGTGAAAAAACCGCTGAGAGTTTCAGTTGCTGTGGTCAAGACAGAATAAAACCCAAACTGAGAGACGGAGGGACACATGAACACACTCACAGCAGGAAGCCAGCCCAGTTTCTTCTCCGATGACGGCAACTGTTTGTTCTTCAGCTTCTCCAGAACTTCCTGCAGAGCTTCAATCTGAGCAGAAAACAGACAAGATTCACCGGAGAAACTCCAACCAGTGGAAACATCCTGGACGAGCATCTGTCATCATCAGGCTTAATGGAGGCGACTTACTGTTGATACCTCAGCAGTAATGTTCACCTGACATTCACGTCAATAAAGCAAACAGCTTGGTGTCAGTTCACAGTAGCAGCCCTGGATATAGGTTGTCTTTAGCTCTTTCTATTATTACTTCTACTGTTGTTGTGGAGAAACCACTGTGACTCTTATGATGTTACAGAATAAACAAACTACTGACAAGTTGCTAAATAACTTTCTGCTTTGCTATGGAAAGCCAGAATCTGTCCAGCATCTCCCAAAGAGAAGTGAAACAGTAACTGCCTATATATAGTATGACAGGGAACACAAAACTTTGGTTCAACAAGTGTAACCTGTTGAAGTCCTGTGACTAAATCACAAACTCTCCGTCTACATTTCATATGTTGGCAAACAAACTCAAGCTCTAGTTCTCATAAAGGCCCAAAGTCTCTGTTTCTGTTCCACGTCACGACTCACAGCAGCAGCAGCTTTAACCTCAACGTACACGTTTAGCCTCTTTCAAAGTAAGTAAACCTAACTGACAGATGATAAGCTATGAGCTTACAGCTGCATTTGCTTTCACGGTATCATCTACATCTTCATCTCCTGTCTTCTCCTGTCATGAAGCACGACTCACCAGCTCTTTCTCCTCTTGTGTCTCGATGCCGTCGAACTCGAGTGATCGCTCCTCTTTCACCGCCTCACAGCTCCCCACAACAACCACCAGCCAGCAGGAAGCGCCGAGGAGCAGCATCCTGCTTCTGACCATGGTGCTGAGGTACTCGGACCTGGTGACGGCAGTCGCTGAAGACGCTGAAGGATGCTGGGTAACGGACATCAGCCTGCCCTCTGCACACTGAGGCTCGTTCAGGTCTATATGTGAGCAGCTCCGACGTCACTCAGACAATATTTAATGACCAATAATGAGACAATCGGCCGGCTCACCTCCGAGGTCAACCTCTGCTCCGGCAAACAGGACGTGACGGCAGGATTTTCTTTTTGTAAATGCGAGTTCAATCTCATGGTGAGTTGGATTTCAAAAAGATGAAATATAGGACATCGTGAGACATCTGCTGATATCAGCCATAAAGTTTCTCTTCTAAAAACTGATTACCCAACTAGTCCAAGGAATTGTCACATTTTTACTCCCTGCGGCTCATGTTTCACTGCAACATAAAGTCCTGCAGCTTTACGGAAACAGCTCAACCATGTCTTTTTTGGCATTGTTGTCTTCATGCTTACACACACATTTATTAAAACTGCATTCTCTCCATCAGCCAGCAGGGGAGCAGCTTCTCTGGTGGCAAAAAGAAGTCTGATTGTATAGAAGTCTATGAGAAAATAACCGTACTTCTCCCTTAATCTGTTACCTGAGCAAACATTTTGCTAATGAGCTTATGGTGTCATCTGTTGTGACTCAGAGGGTAAATGTGGGTAAGTCCCACAAAAGGTCTAACTTTAGAAGGTTTAGAGAAATACGACTCGTTTTGTTCATCGGAGTACAGATCAATAATACTAGTAATACTAGCTCTGTACTCTACTGAGCGTCCTCGTACACCGTCCACACTGAGGCTGGAGCTGGTTTGTAACAGGTCTACATGAACACAAAAATCAGGCTCTGCATATCCTCTTATACATGATCAATACCAACATCTGCAGTTCTTTCTGACCACTAAAATATCTGGATACAGCGTCACATCCACTCTTGACCAGCTCCATGCGTGTCAACAGCAGAGGCTGCTTGAACAGCGGTGCAGTGTTTTAGGGGGACTGTTCCTTTAAGACAACAGCCTGACAGGAAGATGTGCGACTCTTCAGGGTCTCAGAGTCACCGTTTACGTCAAAGCACACCAGAAGCTTTAATATCTGACGAACGGAGTCAGCGTGTCAAACACAAGCAGCTGACCGGTCACGTTGAAGTTCAGCATCACGCAGCGAATCTGACGACCTGCTGAAATAAAACTTGAACTACCTGTCGGATCACATCAGCTTGTTTACAAAGACGGAGATGAAGCTCAGAGAGAAGTTACCCATCTTTCTGTTTAATAACAAAATACTGCTCATTTCATTGTCTAACAGCGACACTGAAACTCTCAACAGAACCAAACATTTCCATTGCAAACTCTCTGAACAACAAAAACACTTCCTGCACTACTTCCAAGTACCAGAGCTTTTCCATGAGAACATTCAACCAAGAACAAATAAAACAATTCTAAAAATTTACTAAACAAATGTACACTGTGAATGAAAGATGACGCTCAGCCTGCTTCTCGTCCCAGAACTCTCTCTGGCTCTGAAGCAGAAAGCAAGAGAACACAACTAAATATAGAGAACAGACGGTCCCACAGGTTTAAAAACTTGCTGTTACTGTTTATGTGCAGACATTCATTCACGTATATGAGCATCTGTCGAACTTTGTTTTGACTCAGAGCTCATCATACAAAACAATTAGAAAAGCTGTTGATGTTTGTAAAGACGGTTTCTGATCAAACTGTGTGGAGGAGACGCTTAAATTCAGCAAATTCTCAATAGTCGCCACAGCAGCAGCCTTTAAGGATTCATTCATCACGTTTGGCAACAGCTCCATCATTTGTTTTAATGGACTACACAGTGAATATTGGACTGAAGCTTGATTTTAGGAAATAAAATCGTAATCTGTCACAATAATCATTATTTGGTATTTTCCTCAAATTGTTCAGCCCTAAGCCACGTTTTCATTTTAAAACGTTTACATTAAGCATCCACACAACTCTGGAGTTTTAGGATCCTAAAATGGAGACTTGTGAGCACGACGACACAAACGACCACGCTGGCTTCCTGTGTTGCACTTTGACTCTTTACGCTTCCATCACGTGACATCAGTCTTCAGTACTGGTGGTTATTTCAACTTGGATCATGAATCACAGGAGTGGCTGACTTGCTGTCTGAGCTAACAGCTTGTGTGCAGTTACATTGAGTGTTTTATTTGTGCTGCTGCTGCTATGTGTACAGGCGGGGAAGCTGCTATTCAGTTGGACTGAATGGTCGAGTGTTGTGCGTTTTTAGGTGTTCGTATAGAAAAGCTGCTAAATGAGATAGCTTCATTTTAAAATTAAAACTTATTTGTGTGGACACAAACTATAAACGACTGTAGATGATGGCATGAATCCATTTTTACAGACCAAAGACGAAGCATGTGTTCATGTGTTGTAATCTACTGACATGTGCTTGTAACACCGATTCTGCCTTTCAACGAAACACTATAAACACAGCGCTCAGTGTGTGTTCTTACCTCAGTCTTTGGATGTCGACCTGAACTGCTGCTGAGCCTGAAACACATTCACACACACATCAGTACAAACACACCAGCTTCACCTTCATACAAAGTTTTCAACAACAAGGTGGTGAGTAAATAAACTGAAATGTCTTTTCCTGTTCATTTATGCGTCTGTTAGTTTTAGATCAGCAGGATCAGTGATCACCTCCTCCACTGATTCTCTTTTTCCATGTGGCTTCAAACCAATGAGGGTCGGAGTTCATTGTGATCAATCAGTTTAAAAGTTCTCCTTTCAATATTCAGAACCGCTGGATGTCAGAGCAGCATCATCTTACACCAAAACAAATGGGCCTATCAGCCACCATGCCCCTCCCTTCATTTACAACCAAAAGGGTTTGTACATGAGCTGCATCCTGTCCAAGGGGGCTCCGTACTGCAGACCTTCAGTCAGCAGAGCAGCAAATGAGACGTCAGCTTCTTAAATATTAGGATTTTATGCTCTCCTTTATCATGACAGTGAACTGGGTATGTTGGGAGGACACCAGAAAACATCACCTTGGTGTGTAGTGAATCATAAAGGGCTTTTCAGATTGACTGAGGTAAAGACATGTTACTGACCAGGTAGCTGCCGGTGTGGAAACCACACATGTACCACAGCATCAGTATGCTGGAGATGGCGTCGGAAGCTGAAGGGGTGCTGGATTCTTTCCCACCAGACATCCATGTAGGAAGAGGAGGGAAGAAGGGCAAAGGGTCCTGGAGAGGAAGAGACAAACACCAAGACACCAGCAGACAAAATTAAATCAGAAATGTTTGACTAAACATTGAACCTGGTCCACATTAAAGATAATGATAATAGTACAGTCGTGACTCGATAATCCGACACTAAATGTAAAACCTTCTCTCATGTCCAACAGCAAGGCTGTCAGATTGTCAAGACAGAGGTCGAGATACAAGGAGGGCTTGATGCTTGAATGGCCACTTCCACCCCGGTGGAGCGCTCCAATGGTGTGGAAGTGGCCGGAATGCACGGGCAATACTTGGCTGCTGATGCTAGTTTAGGTTAGCGGTCACAGTTCTGTTTCCACCATCGGTGGTGGTGGCAGGGGGGGATAAAATACCACCACAACCATGGCGAAATGTGCTGGCTCCGGTTGGACAACTACTTTAAAAAAACAACAACAAAAAAAACTTCCATAAACGCTGAGCATGCACGCTGTGTGTGACGTCGTCGTGTCCTCTTCTGCGCATGCGGGACACTTTTGCGTCGTATGAAGTTCACACAGCAGATCACATACAAGTCGCATTTAATTGGAAATGTAAACGAACTTGCAAAAAATCAGATTTCACAAAAAAATCCGAATTCAGCATTAAGTCCTGCAGTGTGAACGTAGCCAATCTGTGGGATTGTTCAGTCAGATAATACGCCGTTATCCTTATATGTGACATAAAATGTCATGTCAGAGTCAGAATCCAAGGCTGTCGGTATGTTAAGGCTATTTTTTATGGGTTCTGTTCGTTTTTCCTAAAAAGCTGTCGGATAGCAAGGTTTTCGGATTGTTAACGGTCGGATTATCAAGTCACGACTGTACATGGATTTCTGAGCCATCAATGTAATTTTTCCATTATAGTAAAACCAAAACTGATTTTTAAAATGTTCAATACCCAGGAACTGATGGTCACACAGGCAGAAATAAAGTTGTGTTAGTTTTACCCCTGAGCCTGACTGAAAAGGAGGAGGAGGCGGCAAAGGAGGAAAGAGAGGGAAGCTGTGATTGGTCGGTTTCTCTGCTCCGTTTCTCTGCTGGTTTCCTCTCCTCCTCTCGTCTGCTTCCTTCTCAACTTTGCTCTGATTACCAGGTTTGTCTTTAACCTGCAAACACACAAATACCATAAAAATACAACAAGTATAAGATGAATCTGTCAAAAAAACATCTGTGACAGCAAAACTCCAGCAAAGAGCGCAGGTCAAAGGGGAGGAATAAAATCTTTATGAGTGACTGAACAGGTCAGTTTAATGAGTTTATATGGCTGAAGTGCATTAACAGCGTGTCTTCAGAAGTGTTGGTGTTAGCTTCTATTTCACACGATTATGCAGCTGGCACACAGCTGACACACACAGTCCTGTTTCTTCATCAGTATTTACGGAGACTCACCCAGGAGGAGTTCTGCTGATCTTCTCTCCATGCTGACCTCCTCTCTCCTCCTCGCTCTCCCTGGTTCTCCTCCCTCCTCTTCCTCCTCCAGTCAAAATGAGGGCTAGTTGCTGTGGACTTCCAGCCACTGCCCTACAGGACCAACAAACATGTGTACGCGCTTCTTTGACGCATATTTGTAAATGCTGCTTTAACATTATACTTGCACATGTCTAAATCTGAGCTACATCCAATCTGGTGGAACTGGAATCGAATTTTAGATGTTTTAAACAGAGCAGGAGGGTTTTGGTGAATTCATGCTACAGACATTTTCAAGTCAATCCTCTACAGCTCTTGAGGTGTGACACCCTGCTCTTGGTCCTGGTCCAGGTGTTTACCTTAACTGGGCCAGCTTTGCTGGGTCCATGGAGCTCGTCAGAGTTCAGCAGGCTGCTGACATCCAGCTCCTCCTCATTGTTGTACTCATCGTAGCGAATGCGACAGCGCTGACCTTTGACCCAAAGAACCACAGCAGGATAAACCAGACCGTCCTCTGAATACACCGCCCGGCACTGAGAGCCAGGCTTCCAGTCCTGGAACATAAATTGCATTACTGTCGCTTTTTACACATGAAACATTTACATTAAGACGTCATTTGGAACTGAACATATTTTTGAATTTTATGAGGCTTAAAGGTTTAATTTTGGATTAAATAAACAGTTCTAACAGAAGTTTTCTCTTCACAGCACAAAGGATTCTGCAGTCATCACGTGCTGCTGTCTTCTACAGACGTCCAGGCCTTTGTTTTGTTGCCGAGCTCGTAAGTGCCTTTCTTGTTCTCACAATGTACTAAACCGTTGATCTGGACACTCCTAATGTTCCCACAGTCTCTCCTAAGGATTTGTTTTGTTTGTGGCTTAAGGATGGCATGTTTCACATGCACCGAGGGATCCCTTAACTAAATGTTGTGGGTTCACAGCAACAGCTTTCAAACAGCAAACTTAGAATCAACTCCAGACCTTGTAGCTGCTTCACTGATGAAGTAACAAGAAATAGCCCACACCCGTATACAGAGCAGCTTTAGAGTCAATTATCCAATTACATTTGGTCAAATGAAATATATTAGAGAGCTGTAATTCCTCAACCAATTTAGATGCGAGTGTCCTCAAATTAAAGCTCAGAGTCTGCGATTTAATCAATCATACAAATCAAGCTCTCCTTAACTTACAGGACATTCACTAACAATGCTTTCATCCAACATTCAATACAATTCTATGTTCGAGATGAGTGATGAACCTGTGAGCTCTGTGCTTGCAGTGCAGCATCGGGACTCCTGAGCGCGCTCAGTTCCATGTCCTCCTCATTGCCGTAGCCAACGAAACGAACTCTGCAGCATTCGCCGTCCATAGACACCACCACTGCCCGATACACCTGCCCATCCCCCGACCACACCGCCCGACACTGAGCTCCCACCGCCCACTGAGGGACAGAGAACCAGCCTGATGACACCTGACACTTTATTTACTGCTGAGATCACAGGTCAGCTGACAGGACTCAGTATTTATTACTTATGCTGCATATTGTTCGGTTTGTGTGACAGACTGAAAGAGTAAAATAATCAGTGTTCAATAATAAAATAAATGCATCGCTAGCTTGTTGTTTTATAGATTGTGGTCTAGTGTGTAACCCTCTGAACTCCAAAACCCACTGCCTGGTTAAAACAAACAAACAACAAACACACACCAAAATTACACCATTTATCTGCCAGAAAACAGACAGCGTTCAAATTGTTGAATTTTCACATTTTGGACAGTCCTTAAACTAATCATGTGTAATGTGATGCTCCTTCAGGAAAATTATCTAAATCTATGCTTAAAATTGTGATATTTCATCAAACTCACTTTATTCTACATGTCTCATTAAAAAAAAATAAATAAATGAAAATTAAGCATTTGCACTACAGCCTGTGGAAAAACAAACAGTCAAACAGTCGTGGTTCCTCAGGATAACTGAGAAGCCACGACTGACTCAGCTGTGACCAACAGTCATGGAACAAACATGCAGAACTTTTCAGTTGAACTGCAGGCTGTGTTCACACAAAGAGGTGACGACAAGAGAGAAAACACACTGGATCGCCGAAATAAATGCACCACGGCTCAAACACAGCAAACAGAGGAACCAGTTGTCGGCTAGTTGTTGGATGACACGTTTAGCTTGGTGAAATGTCTTTTAGACTTGATGTGCAGAACAGTGAAAAAAACAATACGTTTATAAGAATTGTAAAATATACATGGTAGGGCACCTATAGCTCACCTGGTTGAGCTGTACAGGGGGCTATAGTCCCCGACACAGCGGTCGTGGGTTCAACTCCCGCTCATGACCCTTTGCTGCAGGTCTCTCCCTGTTCTTCTCCCCCCTTCCCTATCTATCTCGACTGCTCTAAATAAAGGCAAAAAGCCCCCAAAATATATAAAAAATATACATGGTTAAACCTATTCAGGACTTTCATGTTGCCACACGTAGAAGAATATGTGCAAAACATTTGTTGGTGTTCATTATACACTTTTATAATTTACAATTTCATTTAGCAGACGCTTTTGTCCAACGTGACATACATCTGAGAGTAGATCACATTCATACATCAATGGCGACAGAGCTGCCTGCCTACCATTGGGAGCAACTTCAGGTTCAGTGTCTTGCCCAAGGACACTTTGACTGTGGAGGAACCGCCAACCTTGGAGGACAACCCGCTCTACCACCTGAGCCACAGCCGCCCTTTTATACTATGTTCAATACATTTTCTCATAAGTTGACATATTTTTGGTTTCAAATGCATGACAAATGTCCCTCTTTTTATATTTTAAAAAAAAATCTTCAAAAAACCTAAACCAAATGGCCTGGGGTCCAAAAGACCCCAAAAGTCCTGAACAGGGTTAAACATCTTTAGCATGTGGAGCCGCAATTTGTTGTGTAGTACTTGTAGCACCTGGTGGGTATTTGGAAAAATGCAGAACATTTTGATTCGAGGTATGTCTAATTCTGTCAAATACATATTTAAATATTCTATATTTTCTCATGCTTAGTGATGCATTATAACTGTGTCATACAGTTATCACGCACAACATTTTGCTGTCTCTACTTCTAGCCATGGTTGTGTTGTTTCCACAGAGGTGCAGGAAAAATGATCCCACAGTGAGTGAACTGTGACAGTGCCCTGCTTCTGCAATGCCTGCTGCCTGCCTGCAGAGGGCAGCAAAGTCTATCGGCATAAAGTTTTAATATAAACACTGCTGATGTAAAAATGAGCTGTGGTTACCTTTGACTCTGTGCTGGGGGAGTCTGCAGGTGGAGAGGCCGTCTGTCCGTCTTCATGCTGCAGCTTCTCGCCAACATCTCTCTCCTCTGAGGCTTCATCTTCTGTCAGCTTGACATCCTGCAAAGAAACACGAACATCTTTATCTAGAAAATAATATTCTTTTTGTGAAAAGAAGACACGCCAGACTCTGTTCAAAAACCTGCCACATGATATTTCTGTCATGTAAAGCCGGTACAACAAGGCTTAAAACTCAGCTGTGAGAGCAAATACTTTTTTTTTTTATACTGTCATCCTCATCAGATTAACCACCACATCAAACAGTGTCTTGGTGTAGTTTTACACATGTACGAGCGACTATATATAAAGAAAGATTTTAATTTATTATAGCTTTAAATAGAGATCTAAGAAATGTTGCTGTGCGGAAAGTTTCCTAGTAATATACCAGGAATTTTATTCATTTATTTTTTAACTCAAGTGAGCTGATGTAAAACTTCCAGAGCTATGAGTGGAGTTTTGAACACTGCTGAAGGAAAACGATGAGATTAAGAAATGTAACAGGAAAATTCTTGGTGTCGATTTGGAAAGATTTCTGTGGTATCTGCTGCAGAATTATAATATATTAAAATTAAAGAAAGTGATTTTTTCTAAATGCATATTGACAATACTCACACTTCAGAATGGACGCTGGTGGACATAAACCTGTTGAAGCTACCGTGAAAGGCGGGCTATCGTTTTTTTTTTTTTCTGTTCATCTCCCATCATATTGTAAACAGCTAAAAACAGAAAATAACCTGTGATATTTCCAGTGGAGTGTCAAACACTTCTCCCAGAGGGGCCTCCTCCTCCACAGCCGCCGTGACTAACTCCACCTGCGAACACACCGTTAGCTGTATTAGCAACGAAGCTAATCTTCAAATTAGCTCCGTAGCTGCATTAGCAACGAAGTTAATCTTCAAATTACCTCACAGTTAGCCTACAGCGCTAACCACGCTAAGCTAGCTGCTCGCCCCGTGTTTATTAACCGTTACCTTCGTGGCTAATCAATTAACTAGCTAACTAGCGTGACTCGGCTAACATTAGCGGTCGATTTTCAGGTATTAGTCGGTACCACCGTGCCCACTTTCTGCATAAATGCCGATAATTATGGACTAACACGTACAGGCTCCGGCTCTGGCGCGCCGTCAGGTAAACCGTTTTCTGTCGGTTCAGTCATGGCTGTTGTCGCTTACACGAACATCTCCCGAAGCTGAAACGACTTTAACCGCGACAACACCTGTGTCAAGTTACACTGATCTAAACAGGAGCTTCCTGCGTCACGCTTCAAAATAAAGGCACGACAAGTTAAATTATTTTTGGGGTGTAAAGTTAAAGTTTAGAACATCTTTTTAAAGTTTCATTTTTAAGGCATCTTTCAAGTACAAAGTAAAATTTTAGGACAACCTTTATGTAGCAAGTTAAATTTTAGGTGTCCTTTTAAGTATAAAGTTCAAGTTTAAAATGTTTTTTAAATATCAAGTTTGCCACATATTTTAGATATAAAGTTATATTTTAGAATGACTGGAAGGTGTAAAGTTAAAGTTTTGAACTTCTGTTAAAGTTACGTTTTAGGATGTCTTTAAGATATAAAGTCACATTTTTGGTGTTCATTTAACCCTGTTCAGGACTTTTGGACCCCAGGCCATTTGGCTTAGGGGACAGGTGTTGTTCTTTATTTGTAAAGATTTTTTTAATCTTAAAAGAGGGACATTTATCATGCATTTGGATCCAAATATACGTCAGCTTATCATCCATCCATCATCTATACACAGTTTAATCCTCACTAGGGTCACGGAGAGCTGGAGTCTGTCCAAGACAACTCAGGGTGAAGGCAGGGGACACCCTGGACAGGTCACCAGTCCATCACAGGGCTACACTTAGAGACAGACAACCAAGCACACTCACATTCACACTTACGGACAATTTAGAATCACCAGTTAACCTCAACATGTTTTTGGACTGTGGGAGGAAGCCGGAGAACCCAGAGAGAACCCACGCTGCACGGGGAGAACATGCAAACTCCACACAGAAAGAACCGGCAACCGTCTAGCTGCAAGACAATGGTGGTAACCACCGAGCCACCTTGCAGCCCTAAACTTATCAGAAAATGTATTTAACACAGTCTAAAAGTCTATAATGAATACCAACAAATATTTTGCATGTATTCTTTCTTGCAGTCCAATGGACCTTGAAAGACTTTCTACGTATGGCAACATGAAAGTCCTGAATAGGGTTAAGTAGGAGATTAACATGTCTGATGTGATTTAGGAATGCAGGTTGACATCCTTCAGACATCTTTTAATTGTAAAGTTACAGTTTTTGGACATCGTTAAATATAAAGCTTTTCGGTACAAGTCAAGGTCATCTTTTAAGTATAAATTTAAACTTTAGGTTGTCAAAGCTCAGTTTGAGGATGTTTTTTGGTATAAAGTTGTTGTATACATCATCTAAGTATAAAGTGAACGCTATGGATGCCTTCTAGCTGTAAAGTTACATTTAACAACAGACTTGTTCCCCCTGGTGACCCACTAGAAGTGAAAAGAGAGAAACAATCAGTAAAAGTCTATACGTCTGTGTCTGAATCTTCTGTGAGTGAAAGTTGCATGAATGACCTTTCTCTGTTTGTTGAAGTTTAAACAACAAATCTGACGTTCAGCAGCTGAGGAGGAGGATCAACCTGACAGACACACTGAGATCTGTGTATTCAGAGAGAGCATTTAGTTTCATTAAATGATCCTCAGACTATGGAGGATAAACGATCCAGTATCTATACCCCGCCTAATCGTCACTAGGGTGGCGGGGGGGCTGGAGCCCATCCCAGCCGACCGAGGGCGAGGCAGGAGGAGAAACTAGTGATAATGTGTCAAATGGCAATCACATGTAAATGAGCTGAAAGGAGGCTGAGAGCCACAGGAAAACCTGCAGACTGAGGAACAGCAGGAGGCATCACACCCAAAATTAAAGGGGCCATCAGTCGGTTTGTGGATTCTGAATCCCAGTCAAGTGATTTAAATGTTAAAATATCACCAGAAACTGCAGATAGCTGTATACATTTAAAACCAAACTTTAAAAACCACTTTGAATTTTATTGACCTTAAACATTGAACAGTTTCCTCAGTTGTTCATGAGACTGGCTTCATTTCACATTTTGACAGTCAGCTATGTTGAATTTATAAAGCAAAATACTTTTTTAAGTTAAGATTTTAAGATCCAGCAGAAATGTTTCAAGAACTCTGCATAAATATTTTATAATTTTGAAGCCCCATTGATCTTAGTTTCATTTTTTTAAATGAAAAATAAGTAACAAAGAGTGCACTGGACAACTGCATCCTTCATTTTAAATTCACCTTCAACATGCATAAATCTAACGTAATGTATTTAAAACTTTATTTGCACACATTTAAAATCAATTAAACTTTGATTTATATCTTTAAAACACCTTGAAGTTTAGTTTAAAATGTTACTGACCCATGACAGTTAATTAAATGTTGATTTTTATGATCCATCATTTGTTAAATAACGTTTTAAGCACTAAATCTGGAATTTTGTTATCTAAAAACACACACAAAAGTGACTTAAAAATGATATACATTTTAGTCTTGAAATCTTAATTTTAAACATAAATTGCCCCTTTTTATTTTGTTTTTTAAACACATGCTCATTTTAATTGTCTAGAAAGTTTTTCAGGATAAAAGAACTTTAAGATGCAAAAGATCAACATTTTAAGGCTTGAATTTATATCATATGATTAATGAAACAAACTCTGAAGCTCCTCTTTTGTTAAACTCTATGAAGGGATGACCACTGATCAATCATTAGTTAGGTCACTGATACTTTTCAGTGGGGTCATGTGATCAGAAGTTTCACATTAAAAGCTGAGAAACAATAAGTTTCGATCTTTCATTGATGAACTGATGTAATCATGAAGGCGGCACACTGTTTAATCTGTGACTGACTGTGATCAGGCCTCATCAGGCTGATTTCAATCCTCTAACTATAAACTAATCAGCCTTTTTTCCACCATTAACCCTCACAAGAGTTTAAGTGTTTTTTGATGATGTTAAATGTATTTTTCATTCACGGAGTTCTGAAATAATTTTTGATTATATCTGTGACAAGGCATATGAATATGTGTTTTACTATAAAATGACTCAATAAATCAGAGACAGCAATGTGACTGAATATATCAGTTTTTAATTTATGAAATAATTCATCAAATTAAAGTTTTCTTTATACTTAAATGTAGAAAAAAAAGATGAATTTACTAAAGTGAATAGATTTCAGATTAAAGCTGTGTTCCCCTGAAATGTTCATTATTATTTTAAAGGTGTTTTTGGGGGCAAATATGTTTAAAATGTTGCAACAGAAACATAGAATACAGGATGTCATACACTCCTACAATAATGTAGAAACATCATATAGCTTTGCTGCATGTATTCATTCAACTCATAACCACATTATTTTATGCAGGGATACTTTCAGCTTTGTTGTTAAGTTCAGGGTTTTTTACAACAAATCTGTAAAAACATGAACATATAAATAATGAAATGGAGCAAGAAACCCAGCCAAACATACCTGAAGAAAACTAAAATTAAAAAGTCAAGCTCTTATGAAGATAAATATGAAAACTATCACACACAAACATATGAGCACAAATAATTAGTGACTATGAATCAGATGGAACCAGCAGGTGGCGCAGTGACACCACAGAAGCTTTAATCCTGCAGAAACTCAGACATTATCTTGTAAATAAGTCTTTAAACCAAATAATGTCAACTTGAAACCAGTTCAATAAATAAAATGTAAATGTTTTCAGAAAGTTTCTTCTTCCTGCTTGATCGAAAAAATAAAAACATGTAGGATACTGAGGAACATTTTAAGAAAATTGCATTTGTAGCTGCAGCTCCAAAGTCTTGTGACTCTGCTCGTCAAACTGATGTTCCAGGTATCTGTGTTCACTGTTAATTTAATCAGTGAGTTCTGATTACTCATCAATGAACCCATCAGCACTTTCACGATGACACCAGCCATCAGTGGTTTCACTTTAACAAAGAAACATGCAAACTAATGACCTTTAAACTTCATTTGCATGCATTCGAGAAGTTCTTTTTAAACTTATGGTCATGAATGTTGCCTAAAGAGTTTCATTTAGACTCAAGGCACTGTGCAGAAACTGAGCTTCATGCTTCTTTTCAGCAGAAAATAAAATAAAATCAATGCAATTTTAACAAAAGACTGTAAACAATAAACCTGCAACTTGTTTCTAGATTATGTTTTGTTTCAAATCTCCAAAAGTCCACCAGCGTCCCTGAAACTCCCTGGAAACCCCCCTTTAGAACTGCATCGCCTTTAGAGTCGCACAAATCTATTCTTACTCCCTAAAAACCCCTGAAACGTTCCCAAACAGCAGGAGTCCCCCTCGCTTTGCATGTGGCCCGGGTTGGGGAACCGGTTTTGCAGAGAGTACCGAAATTGCCGCTGCTTGTTTCACAGCTGCAGGCTCACGACGAGGCCGCTGGGGAGCGTCTGAGACCCGGTTTCACCCTGAACACGGTCAGACCAGGCCTTCGGGACATGATCAGACATGTGTGGTACAAGCAGACACATGAAGCGTGCATGTGACAGAAGCAGCGCTTCAGGTAGACGTTGCGTCCATAAATGTATATTATGAATATAATTGTTATTTTGATATTTCTCTGATGCACTTGTCTTCTGCACGCTGTGGCTGCTTCAGGCTGCAGCAGGTAAACAGCTCTCAGCTTTACAGGGTATTTTTAGTGCGGATGGAGACGTCCATCAGTCCAGCAGTGCAGGAAGCTTCCCGAACACAAAGTGTCCTGCAGCAGTCTTCAAACTGCCTGCAAGGAAAACACAAACATCCATCTGTGAAATTACATTAAAGTGAAGCTCTGCTGTTTATCAGAGCGTCTTTTTTCCATTTGAACTCTCCTCTTGCACAACCTGCAGCCGTTACACAATGCAGTGTGTAGGCGCGTGCTCAGACACGGGGCCGATCACCTGCTCCAGCTTCCCCTCTATTTCTGCATCAACCATACTCCGTTTAAAAAATACTCAATTTATCAATGTGCGGCTGTATTGGGGCGTTTGTGCACGGATGTGAAGTGGAGACAGTGTCGGGTCAAACCGTCTGTCGTCCGGCTTTGTTTCGGTTCAGTTCTGCAGAAACATTTCCTTGGAACAGGGAGGGAGAAGATCTGGAAATTCCTCCAGTCCGAGAGAAAAAATCTCCCAGTAAACAGACTGGGAGTGATCACGGAGAGAGGAGAAGGTAGAGGAAGAGGAGGGAGAGCGCGGGGGATTCTCCGAAACCTCCCACGTGGGATCTCCGTCGTCTGCTGCGTACTCAGCCAATGGGCGCAGACTCCGGGGGATCTATTGATAGCAGCGGACCAATCAGCGGGCCAGCGACCGGGCGTGGTGACGCCCGTTTCGGAACGCGGCAATAAAAGCGCGAGGTTTCAGCTCTCGGAAGCAGACAGCTCGCTTCCTACTGACGGACTCACAGCTCACGGACTTATCTTTGAGTTTCACTGTTCACGAGCTCTGGAAGGATCTTTGTGCCGATCTGGATTACTTCTTCTTGGGACTTTATTCCGGGAATTTAACGGAACAGCCGCCGCTCTGCGCTGTGGATATTTCTTCTTATCCTGGATCTTGTGGATTATTTTACTGACTTCAACATGACTCTTGAGGAGGTTGTTGGATCCAACAGCACCGAGAAAAAGTAAGTTTGAGCTGCGCTTCGCTTGTGCGTAATTGCGCACTGGCACGAGGTTGCACGATCACATGTCAGAGCAGGTTTTAGTGCAGCTTCTACTTCTGAATCACAATTTAAAGATTTTATTCTCATGTTTAGCTTTCATTCGTAGATTTTAGCGCTTTTAGCCGCAGTTATTCGTATTTTTGTGTGCTCTCTGTGCCAGTTTCGGTCACGTTTCTAACCGCCTCGTGTCTTTGCAGGATGGAGACGGTGAGTCAGGCTCTGGAGGAGTTGCTGGTCGCGGCTCAGCGGCAGGACTGCCTCACGGTGGGAGTCTACGAGTCCGCCAAACTCATGAATGTGTAAGTAGGAGTTTTGTTCTTCACAGAAAAGACTGAACACACCACCTGTTCTATGTTCCGATGTGGGAGTGATGCCGTGACACTAACCGGGTCTGTCCTCCTCCTGTTCCTCCTGCAGAGATCCGGACAGCGTGGTTCTGTGCGTCCTCGCCACTGATGAGGAGGACCAGGATGATATCGCGCTGCAGATCCACTTCACGCTGCTGCAGGCTTTCTGCTGCGACAACGACATCAACATCCTGCGGGTGTCCGGCGTGAGGCGGCTGGCTCAGCTGCTAGAGGAGGACACCGAGGACCAAAACGGCAACGAGCCCCGAGACCTGCACTGCATCCTGGTCACTGTAAGTCCAACCTCCAATTCTGTTGCATTTACCAGATCCTGACTGGATAAACTTCTTTAATGTATATTTGAGAGCATGTAAACATTCAAAACACAAGAATCTAATGTTACGTAATGATTGAATACATTAATAACCGAGCGTCTCCGCTGTGTTTTGCAGAACCCCCCTGTGCAACCGCTGCAGTGCCAGGCCCTGCAGGATGTGGGCAGCTTCTGTGAGGAGAGCCGCTGCAGGAACCAGTGGGTTCCCTGCTTGGAGCTGCAGGACCGCTGAGTCGAGCAAAACCGAACCGAACCGAATCCGACCGCTGCGGAGCGGTGAGAAGTGGAGTGGAAACAGTCCAAACAGCCAATCCTCGTGCAGAAGGGGGATAAAATGGCGTTTAAGTGACGGAAAGTGACCGAACCGAACCAAACCGAACCGAACCGGGTGCCTGGGAGCCTTCCTGCTGCCTGGATGTTTTGGCCTTGGGGGAGGCACTTATGATGGCGGTACCGGTACTGAAAGTTGCACCGGACCGTGCAGGACGTCGTGGACCTGCAGAGATTTTTTTTGTTTTATTTGTTTTATTTTGTTTTAACTGAAGAGTCACGACCTGGGTTACAGCAGCTGGATGTCACGTGACTGAACGGATGAATGAATGAACTGAGGAGCTAACGTGAAGCTCTGGACTACCTGTGCTGCAGGTGTTGCAGATGTTCTGCTCACCTGTTCGCTCGCACATGAACTTTTATGATGATTGCACACTGAAATGATGTTAGTTTATTTTACTGAGCAGATTATTATATGAGTGAAAAGTGAATCCAATGTTGATGCATTCTGTTTGATGAATAAATTGTTGACGAGAACTCATCGATTTCTGAGTGGTTCATCTGGGAGGAGTGTGTTGGGTTGAAGCTTGATTTTATGGTTTGTTATTCTGGCACTGAAACTCCAGACCTCCAGCAGTAAACATCATGAAGCCTGTTCCCAAGAAGTCTTATCATTTTTCTTTGTCAAGCAGTTAACAGTGAAACAAGGTCATATTATGGGACCTCTAGAGGGCTGAGGCTCCAACCAGCAGCTGCTTTAATTATAGCCTGGGTTTGGTGCATTAAGCATCTAGAAATAGTGAAATATAATATTTTTACAAGGGAAAAAATAAAAGAAAGCTTTAAAATTAGGATAATATAATCACATTTGGGAAGCTGTAATCAGAATTTCTGGTGCATTTGGTCTTGCTCAAAAAGTGCCTCAAGGTACATGAAAAATGTTGCTGGTTACACTGCTGCAGGCCAACTAATTGGTTAATCAGTGGACTGTTTTTGCTCTAGAACACTTGGGTCATTTAAGGTCCCTGGAGAAAAACAAGCCTGACATGTACAGTAGGAGAATGACAGCTGATTTCTGCCCTGAGGCTTACCAGGAGGTTAATCTGTCTGTGCTGAGTGTCCTCATAGTACGTTGGCAAACTTAATGAACTCCAAGGAACTCCTAAAGGACCATTGCAGTGTTTTTACACATTTTCAGTTTAGTGTTCTCAGTCATGGATGAAACTACAATGCTGCCTTCCTACAATCAGCCATTTTAATATTTAATAACTGAGTCTGACTATTGAGAACAGAATTAACGTTACAGAGACCAACAACACCATTCTGATCAGTCGTAGCTACACTGTGACTAGACTTTTTTATTCCATTATTATAGCTGCGAGAGTAATCGGTCCCATCTGTGTGTCTGTGAACAGTCTCTAGCTCGAGTGTTAAGGTCTAACAAGTTATTTTACAGGTGAGCTAGGAATGGCCTCTCCTTGGATGATTCGTTTTTGGAGTCAATCAGTGCACAAATAGCTCTGCTAGAGGTTGAAGGTCACGTTTTCAAAAATGCTGTACTGGCAGGTGCAACTATTTCCTCAACTGAAGGCTCTCTAGTATTAAATGTTAAAATACCTAGCCATGGCATTATGTTTACCTCAGAAGTTGAAGCTGGAAATTACATCACACCAAGTTGGACGTGTTTGAGTACAGAAGGAAAACCAACATGAACCCCATTGTGGTACTAACGACTCACATAACGAGGAGGAGGAGCAACAAACCCCCAACTGGAACCAAAACTCAGGTGTTAATGGCTCCTTAAGGTTACAAGTATCTGGATCTTCCAACTAGTCAGTCAGAACTGATGAAGCCTCTTGGATGAGAGGTGAAACGTCTTCAAGGAACTCAAGCAAGTCCAGTTGCTACGATTAATCTACCAGAATAACCATGACCTGGAATCTTCACAGACACCAAGATAGAACCTTTTTCATGTCACCCCAGTTAACAATACCAGTTGATAATGCAATATGTGGTATTTTATCAGCTGCTTTTATCAACACAAACACCATAACAACACGTCCACAGAATGTGGACAGTGCTGTGTGTACACCTGATTGAATGAGTCGCAAATAAGACACAAGAGCTAACAGATAATGTACTTTCATATAGCTTTTTCTACTGTTCCCTCAGGCTGCGTTTCAGTTGACATTTTCCAAAGTCAGGAGTTCCAATTTCCCAGTTAACGCACCACAAACATGCTGTATGAAGGATGTGGCTATCTGCTACACAGGAAGTCTCTAGTGAAAGAGTCATTCAGGTGCATTATGAGAAATATAGAACACATGTTGATTTTGGGACTAAAGGTCAGAATATCTGCACCTCTGCCGCTCACATTTCTTAATATTCTTATTTTCATGATTAGTAGTCTATACAATGACAAAAAGAGTCCAAAGTGACATCTACAAAATGTTGACCAACCGATAGTCAACCCCCCCCAAGATGCTTTACTGACTATCATACATGGTAAAAACCTTCACATTCGAGAAACCAACCAAACTAGCTTTGTCAAACTTATTTTGTCTTAAGAATATGGCAGTTGCTCAGTTAATAATATGTTTGCACGTTAATTATTTTAATGATCAATTAATTGTCGTAACTCTCTGCTACAGCTAATTGGTTATTATTAAAGTATTATTTAGCAGCTGTACCTCCTCCAGTGGACAATCAGTCAAGAGTGCTGTATAAATAGAACAAATGAAAATATCAAGTCTCCTCATAGGAGACATTTATGAAGCATTAATACGTAAAATGACCTTATGTCTGTTTACAACTACATTATATGGAGTCATACCATTTGATAAGTATGTTAAACTGAGTTTTATTATAAAAATCTACCAGCTGGTTGGAAATGTTTCAACTTGTCTTTAATGCATTTTTAAAAAATCAACATTTTCATACTTTTTTGTATATAAAATCCACTTCTTCTATTTTTTTTTAAACAGTTTTAAACAAATAATGATATTTAAATTAGGTTCAAATGTAAAACACGGTTCTACAGACAGATTTATACATGCTAAGCACATTAATGATCACACATGGTCACATATGGAGGGAACGTCCTGCTGTCCACATACTTTTGGACATGTAATGACTGCTTATTTCAATTTTAGTCTTGACTGCAACTCTGCAGGATAAAAATGGATGAAAACCTGGAGGAGTGTGTTGGTGGACATCTTCACACCACCTCGGTTTCCATGGCGATGCCTGGACAGTGTCTGAGTGTGTGTGGGAGTTGAACTTGCAGCAGTGTAGCTGCCTTGCTCGGGGTGGCTTTGCAGCTTGTTCAGCTGAAATTCTGCATGATTTAGAAGATTTCAGTTTTATTTGATTTGCTTAATGTGCTTTGTTATAAAACTGTAGGTCACAAATTCTACCTGCATACCCATAAAATCTGGGGAAAAAACATCATTATGTCATTTATTTTTTTAATATAATTTATTTTATTACATAACAACAATATTTTAGATCACAAGTAAACTCAGAAAACTGATAATAAATATACCTTTACCACTGTGTTAGAGAATGAGTTTATGAATCCATTTACATCCTGTTAGCTCGAGTTAGCCTTTAGATCCCGTAGCCTATAGTTTGTATTTAGGTCCTGTTGGTCTACAGTTAAATTCTCGAATCTCTTTGCAAATATTAGTCCTCAAGGCATTGTCAGCTAATCATTGGTTTCCCGGTTCCCGTGGCTTATCGTTAGCTAATCAGTCTAATCAGTCTATTGTGATGTTCTAGGTTGTGTTAGGTTATAATTAGTATAGGTCATGTTGGTTCAGGGTTAGCTTCTCAGACCTGCTAGCTTTCTAAAGCGTCTTGGCTTTAGCGTTAATCAACAAAAACTGCAACGGAAGCTATTAATTGACTAACCGATTCTCCCAATGAAAATTAAACTAAACCTACATATGAAGTAATATTTCGATACTGGAACTGTGACAAAGTGTTTTAGATTTTTCATCAACAAATACCAAACAATCAATGATGTTCACAACAGACGAATGGACAAATTAACTCCTCGTTGTTTGAATGCAAAGTGTCTTCAGTGAGTTGCAGCATCTGTGGCGTCACTGTCCGTCCTAATCCAAGTTTCCTCTGAATTTCTCTTGTTCAGCAGATTTACCAATTTGACGAGTTGAAAGGCTGGAAACTAAGACGCACCCACATTCACCTCGGATGTCAGACAGTAATGGCTCTAGGCAGGTCTTCTAAGTAAACAGACTTACATCAAGAGGAAGCAACAAAATAGTCGAGATAAACTGCAAACATACAGGCAGCAGCTGACATCTATAACAATATAATGCAACATTATCAGGTGACGTGGATGCAACGTTAATGTTATCTTTCATATTGCTGTCAGAAGGAATGAGTCACTTTAGGATTTATGATGGCAATCCATCTAAAGTTATACCACTATATTCATGTTTTTCATGTTAACCCAGACAGAAATAAGGACTTTGCTCAACAAGTGACTGAATTCTCTTCTTGATGAGACAACAGCTAACAGTGGATGTGCGGGATAGCCAGAGAGAGCAGTTCAGAGCTTGGAGATGATAATAACTGGATTAACTGAGGAAAGACCGTCTGTCGTATCACTGCAGAGATGTGGGACATGGACACTGAGCCACAGACCAGCATAACACCTGTAACCATGGTAACCCTAAACAAAGATGGAGACAGCAGCTGAGGTGACATAAAAATATAAAAGCAAAACTTTTACTAAAGTGTCACAGAGGAAGCCAGACTGAATTATTTTTAGTTTTTGTGACTACAACTAATACAAATCAAAAGACTCACATTTGATTGAAGCTAATGCACACTTTTCATCAGGAGACTAAAACTGAATCAGAATCAGCTGCCAAAACTACAAGTGGTCCTTGGTCCTGTTAGTCCAGAATCAGCATTCAGGTCCTGTTGGGTCACAGTGTGCATCTCTGACCTATCAGCCTGCACTTAACTTCTTGGTCCCATTAGTTTAAAGGTTGGTCCTGTTATCTTATATTTAGATTTTAAGTTTGGCTTAGTTCTAAGTAGCTCGCTAACACGGTACAACGTGTTCAGTGTGTTTATTGCAGGATTTCAGGCACCATTATACACAATTAAAAAAAGCACAGAGCAGCATGTTACTGGTTCCCTCTGAGCTTTTCTCATGTTCCCCACCTTTGAAGGTTATTTTCTGCTCTTGAAGTTGTTCTGTGAGAGATGTGGGAGTAAAATATTCCTATAAACACAGAGAACACTGAGTTCTTCCAGCTGTGTGTTTGTGTGAAACCTGCTGGGCTGTGAACTGAAGCTCGGTCTGCAGCCAGCTCTGCCCGTGATGTCACATCCTGATGTCACATCCTGCTGTAACCCTCCACCTCAGGAGGTGACGAGGACTCCGCCGCTCCTCTGACGCCACAGGCCTGTTTGTATTGGCAACCGGCCCTGCCCTGATGGGGCCTCCGCAGGCTGGATGGGTCTCTGACAGCACAGCAAACAGCGGCCCTGTTGCAGAC